TACTACTACTATGTATGAGGGTTAACTAAACAAATAGATGATGGCTACTAGTGGAGACAATAAACTTAAGACAACAATGAGATCATCCTATTTAGAAACAGATCCACTATGTGTAGTGTAGTTTGAAACTTTGTACTCCTGCACCTTCTTCCCTTACAGCTGCAGTGATGGTACATCATGTTAAATACACAGATGTAATACAAGGTAACCATAAATATTCAATTACCCACAATAATGCAGTCTCCACCTTGGCTAATCAATGACAAATACGTCTTCCTTTTGGCCTTACATTACAACGCCAAAGAAAATAATTATGCAGCCAATGAGTCGGAAAATTTCTGTTGTAAGAGTGATATAAAGGAGAGTTGCTGCTCTAATAAATCATAATAATACATATGTACTGAGCTATTTTCTGTTGCATTAGTGCCCAATTATGTTAGTTTTGTTTCAACATTAATGTTATATAGTTTGTGGTTTTTGTTAACTTTCTTAGTTAACATTCTTATATTGACTTTATCTTAGATTATGTTGAATGTCTATGTTCTTTAATAGTCTTATATAGTTATTCATTATAATGTATGATGTATGATAAGAGATTAAATGTAGACACCATCTTGTGATATTTCCATTGTAAAAAAAAAAAATGAAGCCTGCTGGCAAAAATATGTTTTTCTATCTAAAACAGATGCAGCAAACTTCAGATGTTTGGCATCGTGTCCCATGTATCAAAGAGCGAGTATGGTTTCTTTGCAGGGCTGCCATTATATATTCAACCATCATTCACCAGTCACACAAGCAAAGCCAACAGTGACAGCGGCTACAGCTGCACAAGGCGCCTACCACACTTTTACTTAGATGGAAAAATCCATACTGGATAGCAAATATTACACTTTCACTATCACCACACTATCACTGTCCTGATTGGTCAACTGACCTCAAAGGAAGCCACAGCACCAAGCCACAAGGTCAAACCGCTAAACTGGGGCTTGACCTTGTGGCTTGGTGCTGTGGGAACTGTAGCGTAAGTAGAAAAGTAGAAAATGAAAATGAAACCAGGTTAGAATTTGAGAACTTGCAACGCAACAACACAAAATAACTCCTCAAGTGGAGTGAACAAATGAACACAGCTCTTGGTAAGTATGAGTGGGGATAAAGTGCATGAACAGCAGCACAGAGGAGGAGCAATACCCCAATCTAGGCCCCTCAGAGTTGGTTTAATATCAAGAGCTGGCTCCTTCTGTCTCCCTCTCCCTCTCCCTCTCTCTCTCTCACACACACACACACATGCACACGCACACGCATACGCACACACACACGCACACACACACACACACGCACACACACGCACACGCATACGCACATGCACCAAGAACAGTATGGCCTCAGACCTGGCAAGCACCACTCAAGTTCTTGGAGCAGCTTTCTCTCTAATTTAAAGTTGATTGCCGTGGGCCCCCATAGTGAAATATGAGTGTGGAGAAGGGACGATGGAGGCTTGGACTCAGTTTAGCTCTGCGTGCATGCGTTTGTTCACACAAAAGTATCGGATCGTCTAAGTTTGTGCCTATGCATGTATATGCACATGCATGAGTCTGTGTCAAGGCCTAAGTGGAGCCTCTGCATAGTTGTGTGGATGTGTGTGCGCGTGTGGTTTTTGGCCAGAGCCAGTGAAGAGATTGGACTGCCAGTGAGAGCTGTCTGCAGGGAATCGGGCGAAGCAAGAGGCAAGCTGAATAACAGTACCTTTCTCAAACTAGAATGAGGTGTTTGGAGGTGACTGTAACTGAACTGAGCTATAATACAGAAAATGAATAGAAATACAGTAAGTAATGAGTTCTGGACTCATGAATGTAAGAATTTCTATGAAACAATGGGAGAACTGTAGGTTTAAATCCCTGTCTCTGATTGATCATTCCTCTCTGGGCATTCATGTAATTAATCGTGTGAATACCTGAGAGACTCCCTTAAAAGTTACTCCCACATTTAACCAAAACTAGAGGTCATTCTCTTGATAAATATGTTCCAGCCAAAAACCTCTTTACTCAGTTGGCTCACTACAGTTTTCTTAGGTGTAATTCTCTGAACTTTGATAAATAAGAGCATTCACCTTGTCTACAGCATAGTTCCAATGAAGTCAAGATTTCATTTGATTTTATCCAAAAACTGCATTGTGCATTTTATCTAAAGGATCAAGGACAAAGTCTTTAAGTGTCAGCTATGCTTTGAAGCTATGAATTCAGGTGTTTGACTGTTCCCAGAAATCTGAGCTCCCTGGATTTCCCTTTCTTTTTTGGATATGTCAGTAGAGAGCACATTTGTTCCCTGTGTGTATTTGGAAATAGTTTTTACAGGCTTTTTGGTAACATGTTTGTAAAGCAAAAATACACTCCAGTTTCCCTTTTACAGAGAGAGAGAGAGAGAGAGAGAGAGGGAGAGAGACTTCAATCCATGGGAAGGCTACCTTCCCAGAGGTAAACAGCAAGGTGCCCAGTGTCTCTAGTTTTTCTTTCTCTGTGTACTTTTAGTTTCACAGTGGTAAAGTGGTCAAGAGAGAGGAAGAGCTGGCGTTCTGCTGTGACAGCTTTCTTTAATTCAATGTGATTTTGACAGACTAGAGGAGAAAACTAAGAAATATTTTCCTGATCAGGCCACCCAGTCTCTGAAGGGAAATCCATAAACAGTAAACACTGTTGTAATTGACAAGAGATATGACGGGGAGGGGCCAGGCGTTTGGCTTCTCCCTACACAGCCTATAGTGACTCTGGCTAAGGCGAAATAACAATTAGCCAATCTCTCTGCATAGACTCAGCTGATGAAGTTAAATTAGCTGAATGGATTTTAAAGCAAAGAAATAAACAGTTATCAAAGTGGGAAAAAACCAAGACATGTTAACATTGCAAGACTGGCTGAGACAGTTCTGTCACAATGGAGTGCAGCAGGAAAACAGGCTCCAACAAACTACAGCCTACGAGTGTGAATCCTGCCAATAAAAATTCCCAGGCAACCAACAGCGTCTAAAGTGGTTAAAAAAGCACATTTGTAATTGGGCCTATCCCAATCAAAAAGCCAAATGTGATGGTGACAACTTTACCCTGAAAGAAGGCCAAACTCTGAGCACCCAATGACAGATCATCGCTTCTCAGTACAGAGCAAACCACTAATATCTTAAAGAACTTGTCATTTTAGTACAACAGATTACAATCCATAATTAAATCTTCCTCTTCCTCCTTCTTTGACAACATGGAGTCAAAAAGGTAAGAGCCACACTTCCTGGACAAACAAACATTTTAAGTGTGATGCTTTTACATTTAATCTTAATGATGTTATATATAAATGACTGCAGCAGGATACATGGAACACACACACACACACACACACACACACACACACACACACACACACACACACAGTGTAAACCTGGGATTTCACTACCTAAGTTTTAGCTTTTATGCATACATACTACATACAAGGTTTAAGTTAAAGTAAAAACATTTTATCATCAATAGCTGCAATAAAGAACAGCCCACCCCCACACATCATGAGCCCTGATTCAAACCAAAAAAAAATGTCTCTGTGTCTTCCTGAACATTGGCCTTGTGCGTAAGTGCATTCAGAGCCATTACAAATGGACTCAAACTCCATGTAAGCGTAAACATACTCGGCTAATAAAACTGATTCTGATTATGCTTTTCACTGTATCATCTCTTTGAAGCATCGTTGGTCGGCCTGTTTGATAAACGCGAGCGTACATTGACGTCACATTACAGGATTTGTGGGTAAGGTTCAAATTCTGCCACTGATATGCAATGTGCAGTGTAACCTTGTGATGCAAGAGCACAGCGCCCACATTTAAATGGTTCCTCTAAATAAACCAACCTTGAGTTTCCTAATGACTTTAAGCTACAGATGACTGATGTTACAGCATGAACTTTGACCCATATTTCACTTTTAATGCTTGGATGTTAGAAATAAGAAACAAACTCGGCTAATTTCGAGCAACAAAGCTCACAGCTTCACCTCTCTGCCTCCTTCTACCACCTACCTTCCCTCTTCTACTCCTGAGACGCCGCCAAGCTTCGTCTTTCTGCTTGGTCTGTTTGCATTCCTGTTGAGCTCTATTTAAAGGCTCGATCACTCAACTGGCTGGAGGAATGCACATCTGTAGTGAGACCCCGTCCCACTGTCTCTGTCTGAGTATGTGTATAGTATTTGTTTCAACTTGCAGTACATTAACCTTAGCTGTTGTCCCGGAACTATATTTGTGCATATAAATATACAAAAATGAACGAGCAGGACGAAGACTAATGTTGTTTATATAATCAACAAGTGCCTTGTGATGACTCATGATTTTAGTGCTTCATTTATACACTGCCAAGTGTGTTTCTTTGCTGGGGTTTGAGTGCTAGAAACAGTGCTCCTACCTTATTATCCTTATAAAAACATTAATATAAAGTGCTGCATACAGCTTAGGAACCACATTTGCCACAAAAACAACACATAGGCTATGAGTATATCAAGTTACTGATGATCCTTCAACAATAATAATAATAACATTTTATATCAAGCCAAAATTCTTTAATAATATGTATATTTTGCTAGTGTGCTACTTCTTTCTTCCTATAACTTTCACCAAGAAAAGGTCTAAATCAAATTTGAGCCAAAACAGCTGCAGCAACATGTTCAGTTTATCTCACAATTATCACTCCTAAAATTAAAATGAGTCATAGAATTCATTCATGAGACACTGTTATATTTATACTTAAAATACTTTTTATATAATAAGTGGTTAGGGTGCTACACAAGCTAAAGAAAGACCAACATGTTAAGCTAGCAGCATGACATCCCCACTGTGAACAACATTGGAGTAAATTTCCCTGGTTCCCTCCGGTCTGTCCCGTGTAGTGAGGCGGATAAAGTTTTCGCCCCCCACACACGCAGCTTCCTAGCCGCTAATTCCCTCCTTACCCCGATTTTAAAATGGTTTGAATCACCAAACTTACCTTGGTAAATGTCCCCGAGTCAAACAGGCATTATTATGTTGTCGCCTTCCATGGCTGGGATTTTGTCGAGCTGTTCTTCGGCTCCCCGGAGAGACTGGAGACGGACTAGCGGGGCACGAGAGCAACAAAGTCTGACGAGGAGGAGAAGGGGGGAGGCGGCCAGACAAGTCGGCCACCGTCTCGTTGGAGGAGCCGGCTGTCAATCATCAGGCTGAGTGGGCAGGTCCTAACTGTAAAGGGATTATGGAGGCTGAGCTATCAGCACTGATCCCAGGTCTGAGGACTAAGGAATGTGGCATGGAAAAACAGATACAGGATTATGATAGTTTTGATCTTTATGCATCACTTTTCATGTGCATTTTCAAACTGTAAACTCTATGCAAAACTTATTCAAACTCTTTCTTTTTTTTTTAATGTCTCTATTTTTGTTTGTTTGTTTTCAATTGATTTGATGTAATTGAGTTAATGTACAAAAATACCTATACAAGCCAGTGCCAAGCCAAACTATTACTTTACTATAACTTTTAATTTTTTCTAATAGTTAATAAATTAAATTTGGATGTATGAATGTAATCTTATTTAATTTGGATCAAGCTCATTTTCAAATAATGCAGTCATACTTGACCTATATGTTTTTATGATGAATTTTTGCCTTAAGAAAATGAGAGAAAAAAAAATAAATAAGTGCCAAGGTAAATACATAGAGATTTGCATTTGATACATTTAATTTACCATTAATATGTACTGCTAACTGAAGAAAAATATTCATGTCATCCTCCTAAGGGTAACAACAAGTAGGACATCTGGAGGTAAACTGCTGTCTTCCATTAATTGTACACATGTGTGCTAAAAGGACTGAGTATAGCAGCTGTAGCCCACAAATACTGTTTTCCTCAACCAGCTCATTACAATCAAACAATTCATGATTGGCTGTCAAACAACTCATCATTTTCATAACCACAAGTAGCATCACACAGAAGATGGGGCCAATAGCACAAATCATGAAACAATCTGGCTAATTTTGCTGAGTAAAACCCAGAACCCCCTCACATGTGGACACAGAGAGAAGGAAAATAAGCTTTTGTAGATTTTGCTCAGTTACCCTGCTAAATTGTTGATCCTGCTTCATGAGACAGGATAACCCTTATTTATTTGTTTATCTTGCCTGTTATGTGATGAGAACATAAGCACATTAAAACCATTAATGGATCCAGCGCTCTGTCCTTTAGCAGACAATAAACTGGATGACAGTAACATCTCATTATTGAAAGCAGTGACCTTTAATACTCCCCCCGGAATGTAAATGGAGGTGGAAAAACACATTTGTTATTGTAGCACGGCACTGATACAACAATACAGCCTCAAAATTACTGCAGGGTAGATATAACACCTACACCATTTTTACGGTTTCAACAGAAACTGGTTTAAGATTCCCATAGGTACAATTTTATTGCAGGGATGTCGTATTGGATTACATTCAACTGTACAGGTAACTCAGTCTATCCTGTATTGTCTTTAGTCTCATGATCATGGAACATGCAAGATTTTATTGTTTTCAGTCAAAGTACAATGTGATGGCCATAAGAAAAATGCAATAAAACCATTTGTTTAAAGGTATATTTAACAACATATATGACTCTAAAAGATCTTTCTACTTATTAGTAATCATGAAAACCAATTAGTTGGACAAGCCATATGCTCTCTTTTAGGCTGTTTATTTGTTAAGCAACTTTGACCTTTGACCCAAATCTCCCTCTAAGCATATCCCTTCCAACTGAGTTTTATGATTAACAGACTGGACAAGGACAATTTGAATGACAAGTATGGAAGTTAGTGTCCAGTCCATTCATCAGGCAAACAACACTGACATCAGTTATTCTATTGAAAAGGGGATTTCCAATTTGAACAAGTCCAGCCACCCCCTTACTGACCCTGACCTGTCAGTTGCAGCTTGGCAGAGTTACAGTATGTCTCATTAGGAGCAGGACAGCAGTGAACATCCACCAGGCCTGAAACTGCTGTCTGCCTTCCCTTATGATGGTTTACCAGCTGGTAACTATTTATTTATTTGTCATGTACATTTTCTTGTGAAACTGTTTACCTTGAAATACCTGCACTATGTCATGTAATTCAGTGTAATCCTGCAACAACTATTCATTTCAGGAATCTTTAAAGTGTTGATTTTTTTGTTCAGGCTGTCAGGATGGTGTCAAATCAAATCTTTTGCAAAATTTTAGGCAGAAAAAAAAGGTTTTAATTTTGCTTCTCCCTCTGGGTCCTGAAGTTGTCAGAGCTGACTACTATGGGGGAATTTAGATCTATTTAAAAGGATTGAGAAATTAGTGCTCTTGATTAATGTGATTGCTCCTAAATTCTCAGTGAAATCATTTTAGTATTGCATATTAACTGGATTTGTAGCATCTGACAGTTATATTTATGAGTTTGTATGGTTTGTGTTTATAGCTGCGGTCATGGCCCGGTCACTTGATTCTAATCTCAATGAGAATTTTGACCTGCTTAAATAAAGGATATAATGATAAAAAATAAAATTAAGCCGTAATTTGTGGTGTGTCTGAACTGAACTGCATCTGCCACTTGTTTTTTTTCCTGCTTGTCCATCCGTACAGTACTTTTCTCTCAGTCTGTTGTTTAGTCTGGTGAATCTGCTTGTCCATCTGCCTTACTAAAGTATGAGCCAATGTACCTGTCAGTCTGTTACCATCTGCCTATCCTGTGTCTCATCAGTCTTTATCTATCCTTCTCTGTCAGAGCTGGCAGGTTTTTTTGTATATCATTTAGCTATCTGTGTTTGTGTTGCTGTTATTTCTAACTTCTATGCCGCTTATCTTCCACCTCTTTTATCTTAGATATTCTAATATTTTGTGCATCGTGATTCTTACCTTCATATTAGCAATTATAGGTTTGTTTAGAAAGTGTATATTTTAATTTTTTTTTTTTAAACAGGAAGAAAATCATGTTCCTCTTTAACATTTACTGGTGCCATTAACATTTTGTGAAGCCTGCTTATAATAGAGATTGCTTAATAGATGTAGGTTTAAAATAATGTATTGCATGTAAATCCTAAGTGACAAGTTTGGACAGAGACTCTGCTTGAAATCCAATATTCCAACATTTCTTAAACATAATACTTCTACTATAATATAATCACATGGATCAGGATTCAGCTGGTGAAAGAACACTTGAGCGGCAGGGGGACACAATGGAGTTTGAGGAGAAAAAATTTACATGTATGACCCTATACATGCTATAGGGTATTTGCTCTAATCATCAGGCCTTCAAGATTGAAGCTAACTGCTCATAATATATACTGATTGTATTCGGGCTTCACTCTCATTAAATATGTTTGGTTATTAATGTGTTCCTGACGATGGAAATGCTGTTTTCAGTTCAGCTTTGTCAACCACCTGTTGCATCATGTGATATGCTTTTGCTTCCCTCTGCTGGCCACTTTGGCTCCTTACGGACTGGAGTCAAAACAGTTGACAGTAGAACAGAGTTTAACATATTGTACACATGGACTACTAATACCACTCACCTCAGGGGAAAAGGCACCCCAGTGAATCATCGCGTCTGACTCCCAGCCCAATATCTGTTTGACCTGCTACCATCTGGTTAAAGGTAATCACATCACACACAAACACACTGAGAAACAGCTTTTTCCCAAGAGCCATCACGTCTCTCTGGACCAAACACACCTACCCTCTACTTAGAACTGCTACACAAACATAAAACACAAACACACACACACACACACACACACACACACACACACACACACACACACACACACAAACACACACACACACACACACTTGTGCGGACCACTTTTCTGACCCCATCAATGTCAAAATCGAACATTTACTCGATCAAATGATCTTACAAAAAAGAGCCTGCAGTCAATGCACAGCACAGGGCATTGTTCCACATACAATTGTTAACATGAAATGAAAAAAGCCTCTAAAGCCTCTTTCCTCTTATATTTGATTTTCCATCTTATTTTTAAATAAAGTTTTCACAGTCCTTGATGCCGTTTTATCCGCACAGAATATAAATCATCTACAGTATAATACAGGACATTACCATCACTTTGTGTGGTTACCCACATCTTAGTTATTTAATGTCAAGTACAGCTTTAATATAAAGTTATACAAGTATATATCATCAAAGTTACAGTATATATATATATATATATATATATCACAGTTATACAACACAGTATATTTACGGCTACACATTTGTTGGGGGAGAGGGGGTAGGGGTAAGGGGTAGAAAATGGGGGTAGGGGTTGGATGGGGGAAGAGGGGGTTAGAAGGGGAGAGGGGGTAGGCGGTAAGGGAGAGGGTGAGAGAATGTGGGGGAGAGAGAGAGAGAGGGGGTATGGATTCAGGATAAGGTTTTCTTGAGAATGCTGTTCCTGGACAGGCGGTAACTGTGGACCTGCTCACACAGACTGTTCTTTGGGTACAGGTCTTTGACTCTGCACGCCTCCTTCTTCTTCTCCACCTCTTCCTGTTTCTTTACAAACAGTCCAGACTTCTGCAGCCTCTTCTGCAGCCAGTGCAGGGCCCTGGACGACATCGGCCTCGCTGCTTCTTCAGGGGAACAAGAAGGTGATGAGCACATTAAAAGATGCAGCGTTAAATAAGTAGAACGATGTAGTTTGAAACTAATGGATAGAAATGAATTACGTACTTTCAGGCTTGAGGCGGGTTCCTTCAGCGGCGGGGCGGTGGTGGGTGGAGTCGGTTGGGTGGGGCACCTCTTCAGGAGTCTGCTCGCCAACCCAGTTGTTGATCAGAGGTTTTCTTCCACTCTGCTCCTGACTCCTCACCTCAGAGGTCGGGCTCTTTAAGCTGCGTTGAGCTGCCTCGGCCTCCTCACGCCTCCTCTGCTGCACCTCCTTCAGATCGCTCAGTGTGAATCTGGGTCTCGTGATGGGCTCCTCTGCCATCATCACATTTCTCCTCCTCTTCTCCTCCTGCTTCCTCCTCTCCTGCCTCCTCTTCTCCTCCTCAACATGTTTTCTCAGACTGTTCACTCTCTCAGTTTCTTTCTCTTTTTCTCTCCTGCGTCTCTCCAGCTCTTCCAGAGCAACTCTTGCTCTTCTCTCCTCCTCCACTCGCCTCAGCTCTCTGTACATTTCTTCTCTGAAATGTCTCCTTCTCTCCTCAGTAGTCATTTTCCTGATGTTCTTCAGAACCTCCATTTCAGTGAGGAGTTGACTCTCGTATACCAACATGTTGCTCTCGGTCACTTTGTGCACTTGGACCTGCTCTGTGTCTGTGTGTATGTGTGTCTGTCAAAGGTTTTTGGTAGACTGACAGCAGCAGACAGGAGAACTGTAGTATAAGGACAATGGTGGAACCCTGAGACGGTTCCATCCATGGTGACGACATAAGTTCTCGTGTTGCATCAGATTCTGCTTCTAGAATGATCAGTGTGGGAGTGTTGATTTCCAAAAAACAAATGTAAACTGCTTCAGCCACTGTAAAAGCACCTCTGAAAAGTACTCCAATAATGTTGAGGGTGTCATAAATGAAGAAGCTCCAAAAACACCCCATAGTTAAATAAATCTGGCCCATACTTGGGCCACATGCTTGTTTTCTTCTGGCCCACACTGTTAAATGTTTCGCCATTAAAAAAAACAGTAAACAACTGGAGGCAGGTTTGCCATTATTTTACTGTAAAATTAACAGTACCATGCTGTTGCTGGTATTTACAGTTTGCTGCTGTTTTTTTAAATACAGTAAAAAGCTGTTATTTTCTACTTTTACAGTAAAATACTGATGAAGGATTTGCAGTTTATTACTGTTTATTTACACTTTTTTCACAGGAGCTATATTTGGATATTTTTACCGTAAACTGTAGCATATTATAAAACATGCTGCAGTATAAGCTATTGATAAATTAACTGCTAACAAAAATGACTACAGTGATTCATGTTTTTCCCCTAAACTTTATGAGTTGATAAATTATTATTATTTTAAATCTTTTTCTGAGTGACCATACCCATTTTCCAAGACTTTGACCTGTCCAGCCTCGGATGTAAGCATCTCACCTTTGAATGAATTCCAGTGTGCATGCAGCGTCATCTTGGGACTGAAGATTGAAGCTGTAGTGAGTAGAAAAGACTGCAGCGAGCGGTGTGCAGTAATATATTGCATTTATAGATAACAGGATTATACTGTTGAAATTTTCCAGTAAATTTACAGCAATTTGTTACAGTGTAGCAACTAAACACTTACTACTTTTTCCATTATATTTGCAATTTATTTTAATTACATGCCCTATGTTTTCATTGTGTATTTTAGCAGTAGGCTATATTATCCATCTATTGTTTTTTATGGCTGCAGCACATGAAGAGATCTCACAACAATTTTGTTGTACGAAAGTAGTGACAGTAAAGCTCTCTCTCTCTCTCTCTCTCTCTCTCTCTCTCTCTCTCTCTCTCTCTCTCTATCTCTCTCTCTGTCTCTCATACAGAACAGTAGACCTTATACTTGCATATGTAGGCATGTACTAAACACCCCAGGGAAATTCAAGACAGGAAATCTGCCTGTGCTTGTCCATATTCTGCCTTTCATTCTGATTTAACTAAAAAGTCAAAGGATCACAAGAGAGCTCACAACAACCATGCACATCTGCACCACACTGCAAGGCAATCCATCCAGCAGTTCTTGGAGACATTTCACTTTAAAGCACTAACCTGCTGGTGGCACTAAAGAAAAAGTCAGGGGATCACTGACATCACTGTTCAAATATTCTTTTTACATTTTCACAACATAAAACACCAAACAAACATCAACCAACATACCCACATCAACATCAACCCGAGCCAACAGCTATCCCAAATAACATCAAAGGATGAAGGGGAAAAACACACGCACACACACACACACACACACACACACACACACACACACACACACAAAGAGACACACACTTCAATGGGGATTTGTACAATTTGCTTTATGCTTTAGCTGTTTTAGTCTGAGGTGTGCTGGTACATCCTCCAGACAGCGTTTATGACGGTGGTGCAGTATTTTTGCCATATAAGGAGAAATGGTCATCAGACAAGCGTAGTAGAGAAGGAAACAAGTGCAGCTTGTTTACGCCACCGATGTCACTGGGATTCATCCTCGGGAGAACATGAATGTGTGACGCAAAATTTGTGCCAGTCAATCTTATGAATTTATAGAGATTAATCACATGACTGGAAATTTAAACCTGCTGGTGGTGCTGGAAAAAAACTCAGGGGATCTCCAAAGTCATTGACATTCATCCTCTGGGCACCATGCATATTTGTCAATCCATGCAGTAGTTTTTGAGATATTTCAGTCTGGACCAAAGTGGTGGTTGACAGACTGTTACATTACTTTCAGCCTCATTAATAGCCCATACGAAAAAATACAGTGTATTCATCCAGAACTGTATGTGTACAAGTTCCACAAATCTATGTTTTGTTTTGTTTTTAACAATGAGTAAAACGACTGTGTAATATTAATAGCATTTTAGCTTCAGGCATTTGTTTTCATCTCAAATCTCTGATACCTTATCAGCACCAAAAGGCCAAATTTGGCAACTAGCTGATGGAAAAATGTGGAAGTTGAAGTGGCTAAAATACCAAATATTCTTCACAGCATTTGGTGCAGATCCAAACACAGCTAAAAGGAGACTGAATATTGGACTGATAATTTTGCTCCTTGTCTGCTGATGGTAACATGTCAGCGTTGTGTCAGTGTCAGCTTGTTGTGGACCCCCCCCCCCCACATCTTTATAACTGCAGGCTAAAAGCACGAGGAAACCCATCAGATTAATTCCACTACTTGCTGACGTTTGGGCATTTATTCACTGCTGTTCGGATACTGTAAACCCTTAATCACATGATAACACATTGTTCTGGATATAATGTTGATGTTCCCAGAACAAGTGTGTAATGTGGTTCTGCTGTGCGCTATAGTTTGCACCGTGACTCACTGTCTGCCAGCAGATGCTATACTTGCTGAGTTTGAGTCAGAGCGCTGCAAAACTGAGAACCTCGTTCACTTGTGTAAAAAAAAAAAACAAACCCAAAAACAACATCAACAACCAAACGTATGTGCACACATCCACACAGATAAATCAAACTGGCAGGCTACACACCCACATGACACACATGAGTGCAAACACACAAAGAGCACAGAAACACAAGCCCAACACACACATAATGGCACATACCCGGCAGCCATCCACAGCAAAACTCCCACCTACCCAGCCTCTCTCTCTCTCTCTCTCTCTCTCTCTCTCTGTCTCTCTGTCATACACACACTCTGTCATACACACAGCCACTCGCACACACCAAAGCCGCTGATGGTTGTTAAATCCCTACATGGCGTCATTGCCAGTCAGTGGGTGGGTGTGGTCTTCACTGGCTTGTTAAACATACCAGAGGTTAAATGCTGTTCACTGCCGACACCCAGTCCCTCCCTCCCTAAAGCTCAGATCTCTTCCTCACTCACATTATTGCTCTCAGTCTCACTATCGCTCCAGCATCCACTGGATAAAGTCTTACTTTTTTTTTTTTCAAAATCAGGAAGGTAAATACTTGTAATGTTTCTTTCTTCATAGCATTTTCTATACATTACTTTTTTTTTTTTTGCATGTTCTTGTTATTTTTCTTGTATTTTAAGATTCCTTATTTCCAGTAACTCTCTTCTCTGCTCTCTCTCTCTCTCTCTCTCTCTCTCTCTCTCTCTCTCTCTCTCTCTCTCTATCTGTGGACCTGGACACCATCAGTTTCCTGCAAACACTGTGCGACCTCTGCCAGTCGGTTGGCAAGTGGTTCAGCTTAAATAAAGAGCCCTGTTTATCTGACGTCTCTTCCTGAAGATCTTATCCTCCACCCGTCTTTCCATTGTGAAGGGCACAGCACAGTCAGCAAGTGAAGATGTCTCTCCCGTTGTCAGTGCTGATATGTCTGTCACTTGTCCAGCTGTGTGTGGGAGATCAGCCTGTGGATGAAGTCATCACAACAAGTAAGTAGTGATATGGAGGAGAAATGTGTGTCACTGCATGGACATGGGGAGTGATGTTACAGAGAGGCAAGCTAGATAAAAGAATGTTATTAGAAGAATAGACTGAACTTCTATGTTTCTGACATACACACTCAAAAGGATATCTTAAAGCTTTATAGCTACTAGTAACTACTTATAATACTCTACTGACAATTCATACTTTTATGAGTCTTATGTTTCCTTACTTAAAGATAAAATGCAATGAGAACAGGAAGATTTGACACTTTCTACTTGCACATAGTTCTGTTATCTTCTACTGGTATGACTGTGAGGACAACATTCAGCTAAATAATTTAAAATAGTCTTTTCCTGGATTTGTCCTCAGAATTCTCACGAGTGCGTCAACAGGGGCTGATGTGGATAAAAGAAATCTGAATTTAATTTAAGTCGAGTCAAGGGAGGCACGGTTTCTGCAAATAGCAACCTAAGTTTTATTTGGAATTTAATCTATGAATAAACCATGTAATGAGTGCCACGATCAGTTGGTGCATTTGGAGAGAAGTAAATAACAATACACTAGAGAATAACTAACACACTCAGGTCTTTCAAGATGAGAAGATATGAGCACAATACAGCTACTGCATGCCAACATAACAGCAGCATAGGCACCTGTGTCAGAATCGTGACTAACAATCTAGAAGCCAGTCAGACAAAACATATGCAACTCCGCCAATTCGACTTTCTGCCTTCATATGCCATTTGCATCACAATTAAATCAAATTAGCAACATGTTTGTGTTGCACTTTACAGAGGAAGCGTAAAATAAAAGACAAAAACTAAACAGAATGAATCTTGAATTTGAATAAGGGACTAAAACTATAAGTGTAATAACAAAGAATTTGCAGACACCTCATGACAAGGAAGTGATCACTGAGAATGCAAACAGGAAAAACAAGTATGTGTAAAACAGAACATGCAATGGCCAATACGCATAAATGAACAGAATACCTTGAAAATGAATAGTGTAAAGTCCAACAATAAAATGATTCAATTAAAAAATTGTATGAGGATGTCTTAATGTCTCTCTGACAGGGTGTGCCTGTATGACACAGTGGCAAAATAAGTTTTGCGTTTGTGTACTCAGCCTGCAGACGCTGGATCTGTACTGAAGTCTGGTTGGGTACAGTGAGTCAGAGAGTTTGGCCCGGCCAGCAGTCAGAGAAAGTTGTCATAGGCCGAGTGGAGTTTGGTTTGGAAGTGTTTGGGAAGGAAACAAAATCCATCACTTCCTCTCAGTGCCTGTTCACCATATTTGTCCAACGTCAGTGGCTTTTGTTAGTGAATGGCCCTACTGAGCAGAGACACATGCTGGTTGGTGCAGATCAGTACTTGATATTTAATGTAAGTGCGCAGTAAGATGAAACATTCCATCAGTACAGCAGCGAATTGTAGGTTTGAGTCAAAGCATATGTGCTTTTACAAAACATACAGTACAAATACATTTAGTTCAGCAACTAAAAAGGCAGACTGCGACATCAAGTGGAAATTATGTTTACTGTTTCAACTGACAGGAACTGCAACAGCAATTCACCAGCGGTCTCTGTGATGGAAATCTTGTGAGTTGGGTGAAGGAGTATTTATTGTTGCTCGATGCACTCAGGAGGTAGGCAATGAACAATTACAAGCGTTAACAGGTTAATCAGTGTAATGTCATCCTAAATAATACAGATACTTTCCCCTGGAAAGGACGAATATAAACCCACACATGTGCATACATCAGACCTAAACAATGAATTATGTCAAGGGCAGAAAGTCTGTCTCTGAGCTGGAGGGATCCTGTGTGTGAGTAAACCCCCCTTTAGACTGGATTCTCTGTCCATGATATCATTACAGCCTTGATTGCTGCGGCAACTGCCACTGGGGACTGATAGACAGGATTGGTTTAATTTCTCATCTCATAACTGTGTTAGGCGTTTCATTTACATAGCTACACGTTTGACATACAGCAATTGTGTCATGGTTGTTTCTGTAAAATTTGTATCATGATAATGTGCCTTTAAAGAGCATCTCCACACTAAGTCTTGTATGGAGGAAAAGTGTTCTCGGTGGGTCGAGATGTTCTTGAGTCTTTTGCCCCTCTGACCTCTGATATCCACTGTGACCTGTTGCACTTCTGAACATGAACCATGTTTTGTGCTTGACAGGGTGGAAATAAAACATAGTGACTGTTGGATAAAGGCACAAACAGGATTTTCAGGACAAGATGTCGCTGAAACTTGAATAACACAAAATGGGATGGTGACACCAATTATCTTACTGAGAAAGAACAAAACGAGAATGGTGACAGTAAACAGGTGGGAGGAAGATGGCCTTTCTGTGTTTTCGTACAGAAAAAAACGCAATTAGGAGTCTATAGTTATGCTAGCAGCTCAGTGAGAGTGTACTTAGGCAGGGCAGGTATATTGCTCACTTATTTTAGTTTAGCCTGTTAACATGCTCACATTTGCTAATTAGCGCTAAACACATAATGCAACTGAGACTAATGAGGCATTTGGTCATGAAAAATTCTGTGAGGAATTAAATTTCTGACCTGATGGTGTCACTAGATAAAAAAGAAAGGAATCACTAAAATTATAACTATTCATCTCGAGGAAACATAAATGTGTTCCAAATTTAATGGCAGGCCGTTCAATAGTTGTAATGAAATTTAACTCAAAACCAAATGTCAACCTTAAGGTAGCGCCAGAGGAACAATCAGGGGATTGACAAAGTTGGTAGGATTCATCCTGAGAGAACCATGAATATTTGTACCCAATTGTTTGCCAATCCATCCTGTAGATATTGAGATATTTCACTGGATAAGTGAAATTTATGACCTGCTAATGGTGCTAGATGAAAAGTCAGGGGTTCCCCAAGGTTGGTAGTCTTCATCCCCCTGGGACCATGAATATCTGTGTAAAGTTATATGGTAATCCATCCAATTGGCATTGAGATATTTCAGTCTGAACCAAAGTGAGCTGACTAGCCTAGAGCTACTCCATTGCTGTGGCTAAAAACAACGGTTTGGGTGGCTTGGCCACCCAAGTGACAAGAGCTACAGCTATTATCTTTAAATTTAGCTTTTATTTCCCTGAGAAAATCTGTTTTATATCCTCGGCCTGATGATCGAGGCTTGGTTTGGCAGAGAGGTGAAGATGGTTTGGCAGTCTAAAACAAGCATGAGTGTAAAATTGGCTGAGTCCAGGGTTTGGTGGTCTTTCAGTTTCCAAGTCCTGGATTGATGTTCTGGACTGAAGCAGCAAATGTTCAGGATGAAGGAGCATAAAAACCACAAAAGAGAAAACACTAAATCATAACACTGACTGCTCGTGTGTGTGTGTGTGTGTGTGTGTGTGTGTGTACGATTGTGCAACTGGAGGCAAATGTATCAGTATTGAGGTGCTTTTAATTGCACAAGTTAATTGATGTACATTATGCGAGTGAATGTGTGCATTTCAGTGCTGTGCCACTTCAGCCGTCTGTAATGAGAATACAGATACTTTATTGTTGTCCCACCAATAGCTCTCATCCAGTTACAGTATGTAAAAATTACCTTGACTATGTGTGTGTTTTATATCCTCATAGAAAAAGTGCCTATCTTAGGTGGCTGGACTGAGAGGAGTCCAGAGGCAGCTGATGTGCAGCAGGCAGCTGAACATGCTGTGAGGATGTTCAACACGCACTCCAAAAACAAGCGGATATTCAAACTGGTCTCCATCACAGCTGCTCAGAGTCAGGTTAGATCCATCTCTTAGAAACAAAGGAACTGACATCCAATAAACCCTGAAACCGTGAAATAACATTTAGATAATTTCTAATAACTCTGTCCTCTTGTCTGGCCATATCATCAGGTGACCAACATGATCAACTTTAAGATTGATGCAGTTCTGGGAAAAACCAAATGTCTCAAGTCTGAAAACCATGACTTGCACAGCTGCAGTCTTGAGAAAAAGGTATATCTGCTTTTGTTTGTGTGCATTTGTATGTCTGATATCCAACTCAGCAATATTTCCTATATATATTCCAACATCTCCTGAGCTCCATCTGTTACATTCATTCTTTCCTGTCTCATAATACAACGGCTGTCTTAGTTTTATTTCAGAGATTTCCCACTTCCTATGTCACAGTTATTGTTTTTCCCCCCTCCACAGCATCTCAAGTGCCACTTCCAGGTGACTTTCAACCCTCGCGACAACCAACATGAGCTGAAGGGTCACAAGTGCAAGAAACTTGGGGAGAAGGTTTAACTTTTTCATGGTTTAGCTCTATAGCTTTGATGGTGATTCAGAAGGAATGTTTTCCAGCTCAGTTAAAGGGGTGGACGTGTTGGCTGGTAGAAGACAGTTTATAACAGTGGTCTGAATAAAAATTAGCTTGGAAAAAGTGACCAAGAGCAGATGTTGATTTTTGTTACCATAATGTGGAGATTATTTGTAGGTTGGGGCTTGTAGTTGTGTTGTATATCTTATATATTTTTCCTTATTCATTTATTTTATTATTCTATGGTTTTATTTACTGTCTTTGCACTTGATATCATTACCATAAAGTTTAAAACAACCAATTTTTGCTAAAGAAAATGAGATTTGAAGAAAAATAAAAACACTAATCACAATAAAGAGGAAAGAGATGAATAACACAGGATTTTTATGTCAATATTTATTTCATTGGTGTGATTTTTATAGAAATGAGTCAACAGTCTGATGACACACATTGCCACTCATGTTGTTTTTGAGACAACAGCGTGTACACCGTCTCGTGAGTTTTCTTCTTTTTCTTTCAAATGTCTGAAAAGAATGATGAGAAAGAATCAACATATGTTCTCAAATTTCAAATCTTAATATTCATTCATTCTCATATAATTTTAAACCATAATGTCTGAAAATACAGAATTTATGTAGAACCACTGATGTTAGTTTAATGGATGTTTCCTCATCAATTAAATAAAGCAGAAATGCCTTAAAAATAAATTTTAATAAATTTCAGGATTATACTGTATCTTAAATGATTTATATACTTACTGCATTCGTATAACCTATTGACCCTGAGGATATCAATATCAGACATGTCATTCCTCTGTCCAATTGGCACAGATGAATCTGGGATGGGAGTAATAGTGTCTTCTCCAAACACTGATGTAAAAGCAGTCCTAGAAAAAAAAGAAATAAAATAAAATTATGTAAAAATGGAAACTGTCTTTTGTATTTTGTATTGCCACATGGGCACATAAATATTTTATGGTTTGTTTACTTTAATTTGGCTTTGTAATTTGCCTCTTATGCCATATGTCAAGTAGAAAAAGAGCTGTGAAGCCCATGCAGAGATTATTATATTAAAGCTGCAGTAATGTTTTTTAATGTTACCAGTGGATTGTGTGTAATGTGTAAGGTGAAAGGTTTTCATTTAAGTGATGGATCTACTTAATCAATACCTGACTCTGCAGTTTCCCCTTAGCTCTATGGAGACATTTTAGTGTATTTCAGCTTGTTTTTGTTTTATGGCGCACCGACTTTAATGTTACATAACTTTTTTCCAGCTCCATGTCCAGCAGCAGGCAGCTGTGGTTAACAAAAAAAAGTTCTGGTAACCACTGTAGATTACCAGTCCGGCACCAAACAGCAGACAGACAAATCGTTCAGCATTTTAAAAGTAAAAGAGTCACGTTTATCCACCATGAGCTGGTGGACAACAAAAACAGAGCTGTAAGGAGGGTGAATGTTGAATTTACATTGGTCAGGTGGCCTGAAATCTGACTCCAAATGAATATTAAGGTTGCCACATGTCTGCTGAATGTGTAAAATAGGCAACTGTTTGCTAACGCATCAGCCATATTGGCTGTACAGGTTGTGTTAACCTAGTTGCACTGCCTCAAAATGCCTGATAAAAGTCAATTTATGGAGATTTATGTGTTTTGCAGGGCAATGACAATATTAAAAAAAGAATAAATAAATAATTAAAAAATATAGCTTGCTAACAATATAGTCCTATCAATGACATAAAGAGATGTTACCTTCCATAATGCATCACAGAGGAATAGTCATATGGCATGTTCAAGTTGTTGGTGTCCCTTTTGTGGAAGTTGGATGAATGTACTATTAAATAAAAAAATATACATATATAGAATAAATCTATGAAATCTATGTTCACCCAGTCATGATCACAAATATATATCTTCATTATATTATACATGACATATAACATTTTCTCTGTCATATTTGTTATAACAAAAATAATGATATGAATAAAGATACATCAGTAAAATAATGCTCATGAATCATAAATATATACATATATTTTAAAACGTAGTATTTAAATACGAAAAATATAATGTCAGAGGCTTAGAGCTCACCTGATGGGACATTTTCCCAGTTGATCCTGACATACTGGTCCCTGTCGCTCCTCGTGTGCTCATGGTGGAAGCCCAGTGCGTGGAGGAGCTCGTGCTGAATGATCCCATGATCGAGACAACCATACACAGACAGAGAAACCAGCTGCTCGCCCCCATCTCTGCCAACATTGGACCAGCACCTACGGCACAGTGAAAGACAGAGTGACAGGTCTGAATCCTGACAGGTTGGCTTCCACATTACACTCAGCGTGTTTTTCGGCACCTCCACTCTGCACTCACCCCATTTCACTCTTGATCCTCAGGTAGTCTGACTGGGCGTAATAAGGAACAAAACGAACACAGGTCTTCTGGTGGAAAGTTTCCATAGCTTTCTCAATTGAGGCCTTTTCGCTGTCGTCTGCAATGAAAACAAGATTCATATCAGTTTATCACTGACAAACTTCCTTGATAGATTTAGAACATTTATTTTCTTTCTCTTACAAAACAAGTTGTCCTAAAAATAACAAGATACAGATCACCATGATAGTGTAAATGGAAAACGCTCACGCTCACTTCCTTTTTACATGTCTATGAATGAGTAATGCTACAGTTCATGAAAAGTGAGGAAATTATAAAAGAAATTGTAATTCTCATGACTGATCACTGAGCTCTTACAAAAATAGTCACTGATGGTATAAGGGACCTCAACCAGTCCGTTGTAGGACTTTTTCCATTTACAATAGCCGCTCAAGCATTTCATGGCATTCCTCTTCTTTGACAGAGCGACATCACCCTCCACCAGAATATGGTTGATGCCTGGAATAAGACATTATGTGGACAGATTATAGAAGAGATCAAGACAAGGTACACACAGAATAAACTGATTGGTGCAGACATGTACCTGTGATGTGTGCAGGTGAGGACTGAATAAATCAAACTTACCTTTATTGGCCTCCAGAATTCTTGAGGTTATGTCTAAAAGGGGACGTTGATTGGTTTTCATACCTAAAATAAGAAGATTCAGTTACCTTACTAAAACTACCTATTGTTTAATAAGATGTGTGTAACACTTGTGATGAGAAGAATCAGTTTACCCTCCTCCTGAAGTCGCACCTGCAGAGACACAAAGTGAACATACAGTAAATATCTACATACTTCCATAAAAACAAGTTCATGTCTTGTTGTGTTATTGAACTACATGTTTCTACTGGAAGTATAGTATTATGTCCTCATATTGTGTTATAATGGTTTTTGTTGCGCGTTTTCTGTGTGTACTATGTAAATATGCCTCTTTTTCCTTTAATTATTCATATGAATCTATGTTGATTGGGTTTATGACTCCATTTAAAACCCAACCATAATTTAAAATTGTATTTTGTGAGCTGTCCTGGACTAATGACGACTATGGTGAGAAACATAGTGAAATATAGTCATCAATCCAAACCAGGGGTCAGATATGCGCGTTGACAGACATGTCCACCCAATGCAGATTTAGTGTGTTGGTGACCAAAGATGGAAAAACTGTGTCAGAAATTTTGTGACCAATCTTACAAAGTGTGGCTTGTGATTAATTGACAAGATTCCTGTAATCGCACAAGGCAAAGATGGTTTTATCTTAACAATAAACCTTGCTATTTTACTTACTAATAAGCTGTTTTATCTCATTTATTTTGTTAGATTTTTTGAGGTGCTTGTTATCAGTTCTTGACCATTTTAAATGAATCAACTAAGATAGGAATTGCCAGATCTAAATTGGTGAGAATGAGTTGGGATCATTGGTTTTGTTGCGTTTACGACTCTCTTTCTTTCAAATTAGGGCAGACAGTTATTTACTTTCTTTAAAAAACAAAAAAACCAGTAACAGAAATGTATATGTTGTGGTTTATGTCTTACCAGGGAGTCATTTTGCGCTGAGAGGCCCAGCAGGACGGCCAAGACAGCAGGGAAGAGATTCAGGTTCATCTTCCTCACGCCAGAGATCTTATGGATGAAGTAGCTAAGGAAGATTCAAAGGCTGCAGTCTTGATTTTATACAGCCAAAAAGGGAGGAACTGTTAAACAGACTTACTGTAAAGACAACATGTTGACCCCTGAACAAACATTTTAATGAAAAGATAAACTCCACCAGGAAACACCCTGAACCTTCTCAGGTGGCACATGAGGCTGGGTAAAGTTAAGATAAAGACCTCCAGATGTGAAATGGGTATGTGTATGTATATACATACACAGTACTAAAGTGCACATGGTTGATATATTACTCAAAAAGCACTGATGATGAATTAGAACCATATGGACAACCTGTTCATCATTTTACTTACCTATTGGCACAGTTACAAAACCAAAATGTAAACGGCACATAATGCACCGGTCTAAACCCAAAGGTTTCAAATGTCTTTTACTTGAAAATACTGTCTGATGGAAACTGAGCAAAAGCTGCAAGTTGTATAAACATTTTGATGATAAGTCTATCAATGTTTCATATGACCCTTAATCATTTATTATACTGATTATATAAAATGTACATTTTAAATTTGAAGTGAAAGAGAAGATCTTTTTTTTTTTTAATTCCCCTTAGAGAAAAATAAACCTACTTCTACCAGATACACTTAACGTTCAGTTGACACAGAGATATTTCATGTGTTTCAGCAAAAGTGAAAGTGAATGTACAAACATAAAGATTGAATTCTCTTTTGAGATGGGGATCCCCTAACAGACATGTGGGGGTCTCTTCCACAACTATACAATAGTAAAGCCCTGCCACTGAGGTACACACTCTTTCCATTTCTAAAAAGCATATAATGTACTAGTTTGAGCTCTGTGGTCTGCATCATGGAAACTCAGTTCATCAGTAAAACTACCAGTTAGCATTTATTCTCATTTAGTCCTTCTTCATCATGTCAGAGGAAAATTAGACTCAGTGCTGGGTAATATGAGGCTGTCTGGTGGGCTGGCAAGGGATTATAAAGTCTTCGCCACTAAACAGCTTGGCAGAACAGCTCACTCTACATTGCACCATTATTTAACTATTAGGGTGACAGTGTTTTCCACTTGTAAGCAGTTTCCTGTTACACGCACACACACAAAGACAGAGTGCTTTAAGTAAGCCACTTTAACCCCTTAACAATTAGTTGTCCCCTTTATTTCTCCTCAAATAGCTGCAGGATTGGGAAAATCTTTTTATTACAGTCTGTCTGAGATTTTGTGTTGGCTAGTTCCAACGTTTCATTTAAGATTTATATCAGTTTTTTTTTTTATGGCTGCTCCATTAGATCAAATTGAAACATTCTAGATGACGTGATGTCGTAATCATCGTAGGTCGACGTATTTCCACAGCAGGTCTGACAGATTCGCTATCTTTGGAACAAAGTTTGGCTGCAAAGAGGGAGTGAGGAATGAACGGGTCACCAGCCTCTCATTGGGGTACTGGTTGAACATGTTTGTGATCAACAGCTATCTCAGGGGCAAAGTGTTTAAGGTCAAATGAGCTTTACTGGGCTTAATGGGACACATCAGAGGTCAACAGACAGGAAGTCAGTTGGTGAAGTCAAACAAGAAAGGGAGCAGGCAGGAAATAAACAAACAAACAAGAGCAGAGGCTGGGACAGCAAAAATAGATTATAATAAATCATAACAAAATTATAAATAAATGACTAATAAACATATGATTTAAAATTACATTATGCTTAATTATTATCTTCCTAGTACCCTACAGGAATAAGCAGCCTACCCATTTTGGTGGTCATTATTTCTACGACATTTCATTTGAGTCATCATTGAGATTCTATTTGTATTTGTTTATGTATGTAGATTAATTATTTGACTCTAACTAACCTCTGAAAGTTTCCAGTAGCACACAGCCTCCACAGACAGAACGCACAACACAGAAGAAGTCATGCTGGTCCCACAATTTACATTTATTCCTGAACACACAACACTTATTTACAGTTATTTACAATGGCATCGTACTGTTTTATCTTGTACTTATTTTACAGTTTTAAAAAAAATCACATAGTGAATAAAAACTATGTATAAGTGACCCTATTTGCAACCTTAAGATTTGAAGAAGTACCATGTATTTTGTTTTTCTGTAGTGGTATCAGTATGTCATCTGAGGTCTTTTCCAAAATGTTCACCTTTGTGTTTCACATCTGTAATCTTGTTCATAAGGTTACAGATGCAAAAAAAGTCTTTCATCTTTAAAGTGGTGCTGTGATGAGCGACAGGTCTTGTGTCAGTAACTCAGATCAACGGTCAGACACTGGTCTCGATGTGAGGCGACATCTTACAGCTCAGCATATGGGACAGGAGTCTGTGCTGCTGGTGGTACCTGACATACACACACACACACACACACACACACACACACACACACACATAGACACACAAAAACACACAAGAACACACACACATATACAGACACTGAGTAAACAGCAAATCAACAAAGGGTAATTTAACTTATTGGCTCCATCATCTGGCCTAGAAATGTTACTACAAAGATTTAGCTTGAAACGCTTGTGAATATAGTCTGTGCACATCTGTTAGACAGGTGCGTAGGAGAATGAAGTCATGCAAAACAAAGGCAGCGCCGCGCACGCACGTAACACACACTTGAACATTTCCCCATGACTCTGTACATCCCAGTTCTCTTGAAAGTTTGGATTAAAGCAACTAAACAACTGGCGTCCTTTAACTGAGCATTCAAGAATATGAGGTCGTACACTTACTTGCTGATGACCCTCTGTATCTCTCTGTTCTCCTCCTCTCTGAGTTTCAGTAGAACCTGCTCCAGGAGCGGGAGCTCCAAGTTCAGATACTGGGCGACCTGACAGAGAGAGGCAAAACAAAGTCAGTTTAATGTGTAACTGGGTGATATGAAGATTGTGCAACAGAGCCTCAGCAGTTAAGAGACAAACAAAACTAGCATACATGCTAGTGTAATGTCAATGTCTGTAATGATCAAATAATAAGAATTATTCGGAGCCAGAAGGGCATGTTGTGTTTTGCATATATAAAGAAATGTAAATGTGTTCTGTTTTATTTTAATCTCTATCTTATTATTTGTTGCTGCAATGACTTTATTCCATATGTTAACAAAAGTAGTAAATTATATAACTCCTAGGCTGATTTACAAAGGCTTTTCATACATCCACTGATTCTACACAATACATCCATGTTGGCTTTTGTGATGCTCTTAAAAGCATGAGTTTAATTTTGAAAAGGAGAAGAACGTAATTTTCGTAGTTTAGACTACTTCATATTTATTTGGCCACAGTATTTGAGGATGGGCTTTAACTCATTCATGCAAACTGTGGTATGAGTACAGTATCAGTGGTGCAAGAAAAATGTCCCAGTGATTCTGAGGGGTCGACATCAAAGCCTGACAAAAGCTAAATGAAGCTGTATCAGAACATCTGGATGCAATGTCTTTATCTAGGTCAATATTTTGCCAGCAGTGGGTCGAGATATGATTGATACATCACTAAGTGTCTGGATTCTTACTCTATTTCAGCCCCTCGGGAGGCAGGGCCATATCACACTCACATCGTTGCTGACTTCCTGTTCGTCCATATCCATCAAGAAGATCTTCATGATGTCATCAGAGGGCCCCTGCAGTATGCGCTCCCAGAGGGGCTGGTCTCCGTTACTGAGCTTCCTCTTTTCTGGACAAAACACATGCACAAAACATCAGTGTTGCATTTTGTTTTCTTAAGTTGTCTGATTATTTCAGTTCCTGTGTAAATCTGGTAAAAGACAAACCATACCTCCACTCTGGTGAACACAGTACAGAGCAAACTCCTGAGGGTCGTTCTCTATCTGTAAGGATTAAATAATGAATTATTATGTAAATACTTAGTTCTGATTGGCTGATGCAGGTCTGAGCTTATATTTCTATTGTAAATCACATTATGTCTATTTTTTTGGTCTATTTTGAATATACTAGATATTTACATCTTACAAATATGTGTGCTAGGTCTTTTGAAGAGCCTAAACATGACTGATCTTTTTCAAAGGATTAATATTTCTGGAATGTAGCTGCGTAATAATGAGTAATAGATTGGCTGGGAAAGTCCTCTTGCAAAATTAACCCCAACTATGTGACCTTTAATTAGTGTTGTACTGTTTAACCCTGTCAGAGTTTGGTGGCATAATGATCACATCCCTGTACCTTTCAGTGTTTAATAAATACTGATTATTAATTCAATAACCACTTAAATACATTACATACAGGGTTAAATCCTGTGAAGATCTAATCATGAGAAAGTCCACTTAAATCAGTTTAAACTAGATATAAAACAATGTGGTGACCCACACAGTGCATGCATTTTATTGGTTGATGACTTTTGATTAAAATCATGCTGTATCACTGTTATTGATAATTGTGCTTGTTATATAGCACTGTGATTTCTCACCACAGTTTGAAGCGCGTGTACCAAAACTCACCTTGAACTTGTTTAGTAGCTGTTCAATGACCTGGTTTGTGGTCATCCTGCTGGAGATACGCACTTTAGTCGGCGTACCATAGGATGGCGTGAAGATAGAGGTCTGGAGAAAACAAATATTGACTGGTGAGTTATAGTACATATGGAGCATGGGGTAAAAAAGAGAGCTATATGGATTATATGGAAAGGTTGGGTAGAATGACAAAAGAGAGTCTACCTTATAGTTATAGAAGTGTCCATTGATAGAAAAGCGATGTTGTCTTTCTTTCTCTCTTTGTGCCGCAGACTTCCCCCTTCCCCTCCTCCTCTTGACCAATGAAGCATCACTCATACAGCGAAACAGGTTGGACTCTGCCTCCAGCTCCGGGTTCTTCTGCCTCACAGGACGCAAGGTGGTGGTCTCATAAACAACAGGGCCTTTGGAGTGACACAACGTCTCTTGCTCAACATTTGGTACGAGGTTGGATTACAGTCTATGAATTGTTCTGTCAGGACTGAATTAACTGTCTCCTTCGAACAACGTATAATGTTTAGGTAACATTGTTGGGAAAACATTATGGAGATGTGGGAGGGAAATAAAAACAACCTGGTGGATGATTGTTGACTGCTGTTTCCTGTGGCGTCTCAGACATCTCATCAATCTGGTGAAGGTCAACATATTCTCCCCATCGCGTCATACCCCTGCAGAGAGAGAAAGATGGTCTTAGAAACATGGAGGAATGAAGTTTTGCATGCACTGGTAATAGAAATGTGATTCACACAGCTGTTGAGCTGAGACATACACTGCAAATGATCATTTGTTGCAGGAGCTTGAGGATCCTCTATTGCTCAAGTAGAGATTAGTGGTTATTCACATGCGAGCACGAGCCCTCTGCTGCTCTCATTATGCTTCACAAGTGGTTGCTCAACAGTTGTGTCAATCTCACTGATCCTGAAGTTCATACTTGAAATAATGGCTGGTAAAGTTGCGAAACACAAAAGCAGCCATTGTTCATTTGTTCATTGGCCTAGTATCTGTACACAAGTGTCTCTGTTACCAATATCTCTCTGATGGTTGGACAATAAAAACTGCTGCACCCTAAAACTAAATACACGACCCATCATAAAGTACAGATGTATACTGTCATTGGTCTAGTCCAAGAGAAAAATAAAATAACATCCAAGAACATTTCAAAGCTGTTAAAAAAAAAACATTAAAAAGTATAAAAGTATAGTTGTAAAGTAATTAATCACAGTAATAAAAGCATGTATAATTTTGTTGAGTGGTGTGTAAGTCCGGATGCTTATACGATTCCAGCAGAAAAACAGTGTGACTGAAATGCACATACACTATTGCAGAATTGATTAAAAACCAATACAACTTCATACTTTTAAGGTGCACGTTGCTCAGTTTGGACTTGCTGTACTTCTGAGTACATGCAACTGTGCAACCTTCAGTTGTAACATGTTGCATGCATTATTTTTCTTTATGTGGTGAGGACTTTAGCTCATCTTGTTGGTGCAGATTCAGGATAATAAAAACCATAAAGGTTTGACTCCAAAAATTCTTCCTTCTTTCAGCTTGTGCTTTTTAACATATGAGTAATAATACACAAAAGCTGAAATCAACCTCTTGTTTCCCAGTGGGCTGACTGGACTGGTGGAGTCAGGTGAGATCAGAGGAGCAAAGGGAAGCATCTGTTTGTCGTCCTGTATTTTCAGCCTGATGGGTCTCCGCACTCCCCAGGAGATGTTCAGGAAGCCCTCCACTACCACCGCTCCATCCTCCCCCTGTTACAGAGACAGACGCATAGACACCTGTATGGTGTATAAGTATAGTCATACATTCAATCAACGGACTTCATAATGAAGATTTATTAGCAGCTATGTAATATTTAGGTTGGGGTCTTAAAGATGCGTCTTATGTTTACACTTTCCCTGAAGTAGCCTAACAATTTTCGCAAGAGGTGAGAAGCTTACTGAGCAACTCGTGGTCAGTCTTCTGACACTGACACTACTGTATGTGCTAGCTGCTGCCAGATTATGACAAATATCTAAATGCTTTAACGAGGCAAACTGCAAGAAAATATGAATTCATGTAAAACTACATGGAAAATGTTTTCAATCTTATTTAAACCCACCTGACAGTAACTGAGGTGCAGCTGAGTCTTGTCCTTCAGGAAGCAGTTGTAGGTATTCAGCAGTGAGACAAACTCTGCTCTAAAATGAACACAACAGCAATGAATGACAAAATACAGCTAACACAGCACTAAACTCTCATTTTGTAAGTGATCAAGTTGTGGCTGTTTTGTAATTAAATCAGCAACATTAAAGTAACAAAAATGTCCTACTTTGTTTCTCTTCAAGTGAAACCACCAGACCAGGACTACTTCAAGACAACAATCATCTTCTGTTTGCTTCTCACTGAGCTTAAAGGAGCTACTTGTAAATTTTGCTATTGCTACATAGCCAGCCTTAGCATTTACAGCTGTTTACCTACTCGTCTTGCCAGGAGCTTCAGCCATTGTTAGTTTTACAATAGAAGAGTTTATAAGAATAGAAATGGAAGCAAAACATTTATTCTAGACTGGTAAGTAAAGAGCTGATAATGCTAATGTTTTATATGTAGCAATGGCAAAACATACAAATTGCTCCTGTAACAGTGACCAGTACAGTACAATTCTGGGGTACTCGTGCTTTCCTTGTGAATATCAGTTTTATATACATTGCACCTCTACTCCAATATGTTTAAAAGGGAATTATTGTACTTTTTCCTGCTCTGCATTTATCTGACAGCTTTACTACTCTTTACCTTTCAGATTAAGAATTGACATAAAAACACATGCAAGAAGCTTATAAAATAGAAAACACTTTTAAAGATTGCACAGTTGTTCCTAAACGTGACCATCTTCCATAAAAATCTGTGTCTAGCTGTGGTTTCTTGTCACGTTTTAGACGTCTATGAGTTGTTAGTGGTTCCAGTGGAGTGATTTCCCCCTCTAAACTGCTCATGTGGTTTAATTTAAAGGCCCCTATGAGGTAAAAATATCCAGTATTTCACAAGATTGGGGAACATTGGACCAAACTATTTATAAAATAGTCAGAACTAGCTCCACCTCGACCATTATGTCCAGTGGAGCCGTTTTTCTGCTGAACAAATGCTTTAATTTTTAATCCTAAACACATTTACCTGGTAATATTTCTACTTTAAGTATGATTTTAAATGCAGGACTTTAACTTGGCATTCCTTTTGAAACTCCTTAAATCGATACTTTTTCTACGTGCTTCTTCCACCACTTATTGAGTTTCAACGGACCCACCTGGACAGTGTCCTCCCGTCTCCTGCCTGGATCATAGGGAGCAGAGCTGCTTCATTCATCTCTGGTTGTATCAGCTACTGCAGAGAGAACAACAACAACATCCTCTGTAATGGCATCATGCGGGTACACAATCTGACTAATCATGAGCTTGAAACCAGGAGACAAACGGTGAAGGTTGTCGACTTGTTGAATTGTATTTCAGCGCGTGTGTCGCTGCTGTTCGGGGGTTCCTAAATAAAGACACCTGACAACAACATTATGTCAACCTGGAGCAAGGAATGCGGCGGAAAATGAACAACATTGCACTTGTGCAACCAAGACGGTGTCACTCTCTCCTAAAAATAAACAATATAATTAGAGTCTTACCTTCTCTAACATGGCAAATCAGAGCTCTCCTCCCGATTCTGTGTCTTTGTCTCTGCCTCTTTTCTTCTGGCTGGGCTTTAAATATCTCTTTCCAGTCTCTCTCTGAAGTTTTTGTGTTATATTTATCCTTCTCTCTCTCTCTCTCTCTCTCTCTCTCTCTCTCTCTCTCTCTCTCTCTCCAGCTTTGCTCTTTCACTTTCTTTTTTTTTGTGTGCTTGCCTCCAAGAGATTTAATAACAGTACTCCACCCAGTAACCAGTGATGACAGTGTAGACCCAACCATCTGTTTATTCTTCGGTCAGAAACACTGAAGCCTGTGCCTGCGAACAGAGATTGTAGGAATTTCCACGTGGCTTCTCTTCTTTCTTTCTGTCTTTTTTTTTTTTTTTTTTTTTTTTTTTTAGATTTCTCTCTTTTCTGTTTTTCTTTTTCTTCTGTTCTTCTCAATTACTGTAAATGACACAGCAGACTGAGACTAGCCTCTTTGTCCTTTTCTTTCACTCTCCCTCACTCTCCCTGTCTCAGCCTGTTTGCTGGTAAGAAATATCTCAGGTATTCAGCAGCTGTCATCCCAGCAACCCCAACACTCCCTGTTCTGACTGACAGCTCACTCTTGCACAGGAGGGACAAACCTCTTTACACCAGCAAGAACAGCATTTAAAAGGCGCAGTGTGCAACTTTTCCTGCAGTGTTTATAGGGAAATGTAGGAAATCCCACATTATCGACCTAAAACTAATATGGAATTCAGTTTTTCACTTGTGGAATATTATACTCCACATAAAAAAATATCCAAACACCATGTGTCTATATATCTAAATTGATCACACGTGAAATGAAAGATGTGATATTACAAGTATTACATATCACACATATCTAAAACACACACCATCTGATATGTTGTTGCACATATGATAAACATGTAAAAATTTGTTTTAAATGTTTTTAGATTAACAATTGTTAATTTTACATAAAATACTGAATTACATACAAAAAAATGAAAAAAATGAATATCTTTAAAAGTTACGCAATCAGCATAAGCTCCGGCCTCAAGTAGCAAGTAACCCACATGGTGTATGATCATGGCCAACAGTGACCAGGTATGGCATGATACATGAAAGGACCAGGAAAAAACAACAAGCTAAATGATTGACAGACAGCAGCTTTACAAGGAACAGTTTCATTATCTTTATTTCCTCATCAGCTGAGGGAAAGGAAGGCAGGACTAATATTACAGGCTTTGTCTTTATACCTGTACAAGACTTACAATCTGTCTGAGAATAAGTTTAAATCTTTCAACCACAGCACTCAACTGCAAGCTACTGCTTTGGAGCTGCTCACTTGCTCATTTGTAAATCCTGGTTGTACACAGTGAGACAGGGCTGTGCATCTGTGTGTCTGAACCGACATGACATGCAGCACTGCAGGTGTACTCTAATGTAGTAAAGGTTAATAAAGGTTTAATAAGTCTTCTCATGGCAGAATAAATTATTACCGTGCTGTTTTTGGTATACCATGTGCATGAAGTCAAGTTCTCTTTTGTGTCTAACTTCACTGTGTCTCTCTCAAGTCTCAACATGTAGCTTTTAAGGTGCCCTGGAGCAAATGCATCACAACTGCGACTGTGTGTCTACGTGTATATGACAGATAAATCACATGACAAAAGTTAATGCAAAACCAACAATAAAGAAGATAAATGCTCAACATTACCAAGTCAATAATGGGTGAACGTTTACAAATCCAACGCAGGCTGCAGCGGTTTTAACCTGAACTTGAAGGAAGGCAAGTGCTCCAAACCTCAGGGTTTGAGGATCCCACAAAACAAGACTGCGAATGATCCGACTGATTTAAAATCAACATCCTATTCAATGAGCCACTATGGACTGTTCCACTTCACTTCTACTGGGGTATTGCCACATGAGTACCAGCTGCTGCTGACAGAGGTGGAAAAATTAATGAATCAAACCAACCCAACTGGTGGCAGAGATGAATAAGATCTAAGTCATGTCCTTGTGATTTCTGTTTGCTTAATACAAAACAAATTTCTTGGATGGAGAAAAAATGGAGAGACACTGGTCTCAAATGTAATGAGCAGTACATGTCAAAAGAAGGCTGAGGAAGATTCTGCATAAAAGTGTCATTTTTAGATTATAAGATATTATGTTAAATAAAAGCCATTGGAAGCCTGTGAGATAAATTAAATGCCACATTCAGACCAGCACAATATGAAAATCCATCAAAGCCACAAAACCACACTCATATGCAGGGTGGAGCAGAGGGTGCAATATACGTACACGGTATAATACAAGCTTTTTTATTGTCAGCTCTGAGCCAGAAAAAACATAGCCAACAGGAAAAAAGCCAAGGTACTCGATGACACACCCAGTTTCTCCCTTTGCTGCCTTCCTGTTTGTCACCCGCCTCTCTTTCTCTCTGACTCCACTCCTTTCTGTCTTTCAAACTTGCTCCTTCTCAAGCGCAGATTTGACCTGGTTATAAACGTTTAGTCGAGTGCCCCCTGTTGAAACTCTGTCCCTCTGCTACCGGGTCTTTGTGAGCCGTTTCATTTGAATAATAATCATTCGCAACGATACATTTATTTGGAGTTACAGATCCACAATTTCATTATTTGAGTTACAATACTTTCTCAAAGTTATGAAAAGGTTGTTCAACCTTGTACATAAACTGTGCTTTGTTACTGCATAACTCTGGTTGCATTAATTCTGGTTTGGGATGTTGATGCGCAAAAAAGAAAGCAGAGGTTGTTTGACATTTATTTTGATTCATATGATGTAAATACTAATCTGACAGTTTTCAGGGTTGAATATAAAACTAACATATGAAATAAATAAAACAAATTGTCATTTTGTTAGTAGTTCCAGTTAAGCAGCGCACTTTAACACACTTGAAGGTGGAAATGAAATGATCAGAACACATTCAGTCCTACCTGGCCAGCCAGTCTTTCAATCTTCTAACAAATAAAGCTGGTTCAATCCATGTTAGAGGTCTTGTAGCTTGTTCGTGTGTGTGTGTGTGTGTGTGTGTGTGTGTGTGTGTGTGTGTGTGTGTGTGTATGCATGTATGTTTGTGTGTTCATAGGTTCAGAGTACAGTACGTGTGGTAGGAGGTGAACTTGGAGCAGCTGGTTAATTATTGCAGAACATGTTGAGACAGCATTGAGAGGGAGGGGCTGACTGACACCTGATATGACTCGCCTTCTTTGTGTGTGCATGTGTGTGTATGACTAGAGAGGGACAGCGAGCGAGAGAGAGGGAGAGAGTCTTTGAAATACAACCTTTCACCCAATAACCTAAGCAAATGATCAAATATTTGCTTACTTGTTTGTGATGCCCACATGCAATACATCTTACTAGAAAGCTAAAGCTGTGCTAGCTGCAACTGAGAGGCCACTAGTAGCAGCACTGGAGAATAGACGGCATGCAGCCAGATCTAGTGGATGATGGCAGCATGCTCATATAATCGAATAAAGAGAATAATAATCCAGGAAAGCTGCCTGAAGCGAGATGATAGTAATTGGATTCAATGTGTAACCAACACACACACACACACACACACACACACACACACACACACACACACACACACACACACAACCACCACACACACAAAACACATCACACACAACAACACACACACACACACACACACACACACACACACACACACACACACACACACACACACACACACACACACACTCACACGCTGGTCATGGTGCTGATTGCCCCACACTACTTCCTGAATCAGGTGAAGACCAAATAGTCAGTAATGCCACACCAAGAAAGTTTTTGCAGTTAATCCTTCAGACATGGCTAGGTGTGTTTTAAAGACGTAATAAACAACAGATCTGGGAGATCTTCATCTTGATGGTCTTAATACTATAGAAGGTACTGTTTTATATTAGTTTTAATCACTCACTCTGAAAAGACCTTTTCTGTGACTATAGGGGAGCCACAGGGATCAGTCTTTGGTCTTTTGTTATTCTCCCTCTGCATGTCACCATTTGGTCAAACATTTCAAAGGCATCATATCATTTTCATGTAGATGATTCTCTGATCTGCCTCTCGCAGGAATATCACGGAACTGAGCAAACTACAGGTCTGTCTTACATTAGTTATAAACAGGTCATCGCAAAATTCCATTACATCATTATTCCATTACACTAAGACGTTAAATAATAATAAAAATTATAATAATAACAATATTAATAATAATAATAATCTAATATAAATTAGAAGTTATCATCATAAACTTGGACTCCAGTCAAATTTATTCACACTTAGGTCTACAAACCTTATGCGTAACTGGAAATCTAGGCTCTATGAGGGGAATGATACAGTAAGTAAAGCACAACCACTGCTCTGTGCAATAGTATTTGTTTTTTCTCACGGAATAAAAAACAACACTCAAATAAAAATGATTACACTTCTTTGCGCAGGTCTTTAAATTCCTGAGTTCAATATATATCCATTTTTATAGCCCTTATTTATTTCATCTTCAGTTGTATAGTTTCAAGGGAAATTTCAGTTTAATACAGTCAAGTCAAAAATTGTTTTTTCAGTTAGTCAACAATGAGTCTTTTTCTTTTAGTTCAGTTAGGGCACCCTATGTTTCTATTGTGTGTGATCTTATCTGGAATCCCAGTGAAGGAGATGGTGCATCCAAATCCATGGAGCTGCTCCTGGACTCCAAGTGCAGCCACAGTGGTGGTCAGGTGACCTCCCACTTGCATCCTCATTCATCTCAAATATCTCATGGTTACCTTCTAACCTTTTTATCATCTTCTTGCTTGCTCGAATGTTCACAAAACAGAACATGACCATGATTAGATTATACAATTCACAAGAAAATAGTTTCTGCAAGCAGTATGTCACAACACAGAAAAATAATAGCCTACATCTCAAACTCAGTGCTGAGTTTTTATCAACCACAACACGTTTCTCCGATAGTTTTCCCCCCGTTCACAATCATGAAATTAACATGAGCTAACATGGCTTTTAAGCTAGCACTGAATAAGAAAACACACTCACAGAAGAGTCATCAAAAACACATCAAAACGTAGTCCTCCTGAATCCTCTGGCAACATAACAGTTCACGGAACCAGGTAACTCTCTGCTGGATAACTTTAATATTGAAGTTAAAAGACATGACTTTTTATCACCACTGCTCAGGCTGCATATGTAAAGCACTCGCTTTCTTCTTTCGCCCCACCAACCCCCCCTGCTCCTGACTCTGTATAATAAATAAAATGTAAACTTGAGAGTAAAACACTTGAGTAGAATCTGTGATTTGTCTGTTCAATTTATGGGGGTTACACTATATTTTCATAACATTTTTCCAAAATTCAATCTTTCATCGGCAAAACCCTTTATTATGATAACCTATAAGGATGAGGAACTCCTTTATTTTGAGCCTGAGTGCAGCCTGAGATCCTCTGGTAGGCCCAAAACCATAAGGGACCGGGCCTTTGCAGTCAGGGCCCCTTGACTCTGGAAGAGTTGGTTTTAAGTTTTTTGTGAGGCGCTTTGTAAGTCATTTTTGTAAAGTGCTGTATAATTAAAGTTCTTATTATTATTTTCATAGGGAACAGAGATTTTCTGATGTTTATGAAATGATAGTGATTGCGTGCTTCACTGTTTTTCCTTTATTCCCTCACAGGGGCAAAAATGTGGGTTACAGAGCAGCTCCAGTGGAACAAATCTGGCTTCAGTTTCTTGATGTGGGATCTTGAGCAGAGAACAGTGTCACAGACATTCTGCTGTTGTTCTTCTCTGTACAGCTCTGCCCTAAAGCAGGGTTTCACACACAACTGTAATGCATGACTCAGAGACACTGATGAGAAGTTCAAACAGTCCACCCTTATTTAAAGGTAGTGCAGGCAAGAGCAGGTATGGACTTAGTTGAGGGGGGAGGTCAGCAGGCAGCCAGGAACACCAGGCACAAAGACAAAAGGGAAATAGCAAAAGTCAAAATCCAAAACAAAACATACAGGAGGTCAAAAGCAGGCAGCCAAAAATCAGGTCATACAAAAATGCTGGAAATCTACAATTTACAGCTGGGATGGCACAATCTGGCAGTGTGCAAGTGGAAGTGAGACAGTATACATACCAGGGAGGGATAAGGTGCGAAAGTGGGTGTGGGGGAATCAGGTGGTGGGAAAGGTGGGAAGTGTTGAGGTTACTGCAGGGCAGGTGGGTGGAGCAGGGTCTGAAATGACAAAGCAGTTAGTGAATGATGACAAAGCAGGCAGATGGTGAATGGACAACTGAATGAACAGTGACAGTCCTGGTGTTTTTAACATCAGGGTCATATGTGTTTACGGTCTTGCAAGAGAAAACAGCTGTTTTGTTCAACTGTTATGAAACAAACAGCTTTGTTCTGACTCAGTAAGATTATGCAACTTTGTGTGATTCAGTGCTCCACAATTAAACAGCAAACAGGGTGGCTGGATGCATGTAATGCAAACAGATTGGGCTGCAGCTAGGTGGAGCTATTTAGCTGTAAACTCCATGCAAACAGTAGGTCTATGATAATCTGGGACTGCAACCCAGGCAGTACCCTAATTGAAAGACAGAAAAGCTTTCTAACATATCTGCAAAATTCAGTTTAGTGTAGTATAATTCCTATTGAGGAACAGTTAATGCCTGTGGCAGTAGAGGGAGTCAGAGTATCAGTACAAAAGTTGTCCAGAATCATTCTGCTGAGTCAGTGGTCCTTGGCAAATAAGTAGTTTGATGTTTTAAAGTTTTTCTTTTTTTTTGGTCTGGTATTGCTTTCTTGGATGTGCTTGACATATTTCATTGGTGTGTTGCTTTTCTTTGAGAATAAAAAATACTAAGAAATAAAGAAACTTACTCTTTTTTTCTGCCATTCAGTGCAAATGATCCTGCATGACAGCACCACCTAGTGGTGTGCAGCCACATCAATGAAAAAAACAGCTGAAATCATACACTGGAGCTGGAGCTTTATGTGTAGCATATACTGTATGAGTTTATCTTTTTTTATCTTTGGCATAAAGCTTGAGAGAGATGAGAGTCTCAGTTGTACAATACAAGACGAGAGAGAGAAGACATTGTCTGAAAACTGGGTAAGAAAGTATAATCTTATAGCTTTGTCACATGACAAGACAAAACACACTTATGGCAAAATCACCATCATCGCCATTATGTTGTTGTCCATGAGCACAAAATTTCATTTTAAATGTTGTTAAGGCAACAGTTAAATCTACTTAACATCAACAACAACAACAAAAACATCTAGATGACAGTTTCCCCTTCACAATAATGTGACAGGTTGACTCTGTGCCCGCTGAAGGAGTACAATAGTTGACCGACTCCATCCAAAGCAGAATGGATGAGGAGCAAATGAAGTGAAATGCCATTCCTTTCCTAAAATAAAACAGGACACACAGGCTAGCAGGCAACAGGTGGACACAAAGGCTCTCTCTCACTCTGTGTGTGCGTGTGTGTGTGTGTGTGTGTGTGCGTGTGTGTGTGTGTGTGTGTGTGTGTGTGTATGTGTATGTATGTGTGTGTGTGTGCGTGTGCGTGTGTGCACGTGCGTCAAAATATAACAGTAAGTGCCCGTTAAGTAGTGAGTTGGGATATGCCTGTTAGTGGGGACATGTTTGTGGAAATGTTATACAGATGTGTGTTACATGCTGTAAATGTACTGTTGTAATGTTAATCTGAATATTGAATTACATATTAATGATAAAAGATGAAACAAATACACATACGGTATATTATGATCCACTGTATTTGAATAGTATATGACCAGTAATCTATCCTGACACTCTTTGTGTGACTATTCTCTGCAGCATTAATGATTGTTTGTCCCTTTCTCATCCTATATTGTGTATTACAATGTGTTGCACCTTAGATTAGACACTAGATTGGATACAAACTGGATTGTGGATGTGTGAAAATAAAACAAATAGTATGTTAATGAGGATTTGTATTGCATACACTGTAAAGAATATCTCCTATTTCTGTGTTTTAATTCCTTTGTGTAGTAATTTCACTGACACTAACGTGACTTATCTCAGCTGACATGACACAAAAAAGCTTTGTATTGAATGTAGTTTGTCCTTAAATTCAACTCATAAACAACGGCCTGACACTGTTGTTGATTACTGTGAATGTGGATCTCTCTCTAGCACTGGAGCCTTTGGAGCTTCGAGTGCTGCAGCTACAAAACCTGAGTGACTGTACATGGGGACAGCTAGCAGCTGCCACTGTCCATCACAAAGCTAACACACACACACACACACACACACACACACACACACACACAAACACGGTGACTGAGCTGGTCCATGTTGAGCACAGAGCTCATGGCTGTCCCTGGCTGAGACACACGCAGTGAAGAAACACAACCAACAAGAAGGTCTCTTTACCTGTCATGGGAATCTAACCACCAGCTCGTACTGTGTGCCTGTCAGAGAGCTTTTGTCCAGACGGATCATTTAAGAGCAGGTATGAAGACTGTGGAGCCCATTTCAGTCGTACAGATCCTTTTTCTGCTGGTTCTGGTCACCTCAAGCTACAGCATACAGAGAGGTAAGTCAGATTTTCATTTGCTCAATGAGCTTTTAAAGATGTCTTTTTTTTCACCATAAGTTATCAAAAGTGTTGCAAGTACACTCGGGTATTGTACAGTACATAATAACTGTGTGAACTCTGTCTTTTATTCATAGAAATGTAGAAGCTATGTTGAACTAAGTCATTTTGCATGATCTTCCCTCTGACTGTGCGCCCGTGTGAGTAAATATGATGTATGAAAGCTTCACATCAACTCAGTCAACGATGATGTAGGTGAGGAGAAGAGAAATGTCACGGAGAGCATCCTTTATTCTTGCATCAGTATTTTACCCTCTGTAAAGACTTCTCCTAAAGTGAGGTGACCAGGTTGACTTCCCCCCACATGTGTAGCACTGAGATCACCTGTTTTCCACTACATCCTGCAGGGAAAAGGAGAAGGTGTTTATAGGCCTACATAGTGTAAATGTGACTAAATCTATATCCTTCCTACACTCTGGCATATCCTCTCCGCAGGCTGTTGTAAAGGTGGTTAGGGACCAGCTATTCACCTTGCTGCTATTTCTTTTCCTAATATCTTTTCCATATGATTGGGACACCTTCACACCACTGCTCCACTGTGAGCAAACATGACATCAGGAACCTATTGTGTGAAGCGGGCACCGTATGACATTTATTCCTGCATTTTCCAGAGGATTTAATCAACTTTAATGGTTGTAATTAACCTCTTATCTATTTTGACTTTTGACTGCAGTGAATTCAGGCATGGCCTCAGGATCACATCAGGTCATGTGAGGCGGGTGCTGTATCAAATGCTGGCACAATTTTAAGGGCACATGCACAGGCCTGCAGAGCTGACCATAGACATACAATACATGTTTTATGAGTATAGATATACAGTATATGATGCACACTGGCTCAAGGAAACAGGTGGTGTAGATGCTGTAACATTCTGTGTGGGTGGGTCCTGTAGCTGGTGAGCGAGGCTCGGCGGCAGGGTGTAGGCTGACCTGTGCTTTCCGTAATATGCAAGTGATTACAAGGCTGAAACGAATGCGGTTGGCATCTTTCTTCTCATCACAAATCACTGACGGCATCCTGTCAGCAATAATTTGTGGCTATACAAGTGAGAAGGATGACTTAACTGCCAATAATACGTTATTACAAAAATGACCATGTATTTCATTTAAGTAGAAGTATGTTTTATTATGTTAAGGTGAAAAACCATATCTTTGTAGAGCTTCCACCTTCAACATGAAACGTGAAATCCATCATCAGAGTGCTAATTTTTTACCCACAGTACCTGAAGGTAAAAGAGTGTGTTGCATTATAAAGATTGTGAGTCCTTTTATGCTTTGAGTAGTGTTTATCTTGCTAGATGTTCCATCTCAAAACTCACATTTAAACCACAAGTTGTCACATTTCTATTACTGTGGTGGTTATACAAACAAGGTATGTGGAAATTTTAACTTTTCCCCTTGCCTCCAGTTTTTATGATTAGCTAAAGGCTAAACACATCCATGCTCCAGCTTCATGCTTCAAACACAGACATGTTTCCATAATGTTGAACTTTATTTTTTAATGCATTTTACTTTTAGTTACTTTTAAACTTTTTTCAAACTGAACTTGAATGAAGTGACCAAACACAAGCAAAATGTAGCTTTTTAAAACCAAGTGTAGGCATTAAGACTCAGTTGTTTTCATACTTTCTTGTTTTCCCTTAGTTGTCATTTTAAAACAATTAAAAACCTTAAAATGGACCTTGAATTATCCTTTATTTTATAGATAAAAACAATGCAAACCATAATAACAAAAGAAAACTTCAACACAGATTGTTGCACACATTTGTTGGATTGTTTTAGAAGCGATTTGAAGTTTTTATCCCACTGGTCACATTGTCTGTTTTCAGTCACTACAATAAATTTTACTTTGAGCTCAGAATGACACAGTATTGCTTCCATTTAGTTTGGGCGTACAAGCCTCTTAATCAGACATTGGCTGATTGGCCGTGACAGCACCCAATGGAGCAAACAGGAAAGTCCATGTCAGTGAAGCTACCCTAAACGTCACTATCAAAGATGGCGGATGAAAATCGATCCTTAAACATACAAAGAGAACACAGCAATACAGCCAAAGGGTAACTAGCCAAATATTTTCTAACTTTTAATGTTAGTTTACCGATCGAATTAATTGACTCACACAAACAAACAGCGGTTTGTTTGAAAGCACCGATTCTCTTATTTACCGTGAGAAAACGACAAGTCTCTAGCTCAAACTATCGCGGAGCTATGACGCTGTAAAGACAACATGATATACTGCATGCTCCAGTGGGCTTCAGACGGTTTTAATCATCTGCGACTTGATTGACCACAGTTTTACAAGCTGTGCCTGGAACTCTGAACTGACAAGTGCTGTAAAAGTGTGTTATTATATTATTGTTATTATTATTATTGGTATTTTTGCTGTGGTTTCATGGAGTGCGTCAGTTGAGCAAAGCTGAGATGGATGACACAAAAGGATTCATTTTCAAGGGGTCTGCTGGGGTGAGCTGGCTTGTATTAGCTTTGTTTGATTTCATTTGAAATGTGGGTGAGCAAACATATCGAACGGATGTTGATCTTTATTAATCTGTCCCTACGAAGGCCTCCTCAAGTCCCAGTGGTCTCATGAATGGGGCGGTTTTTAAGTTTGGAACTTTGAAGCTTTCGGTTAAATGAACTACAGACAGCCAAAACAGTATTACAACTCAGTTACTGTAGACAACATTTAACCGTTTAGAATTAATGTATTGTCTTTGATAATTACACATAAGTTAAGTGTCCCGCAAGCCAGTCATTAGTGTAAACTATGCTCTGCCAGGATAAATTAACACTACATATGCCTGTAAAGACAGTGGAAGGTTACTTTCAGTGTTGTTCAGCATGTCTATGTGAACTGAATCTGTATAAACAATGGATGACTCCTTTGCAGACATCCGATCCCCTGACATGCCACAAAAACAATTCTAGTTTTGTGTTTGTTCTTGTTTGACCACACTGTAAGTCAAAACTATCTGGTCTGCAGGATAGCGTCATAGAGAGGGGGAGAGAGAGAGAGGGAGAGAGAGAGAGAGACAGGGAACACTGTTTACAATTTCACTCCAAGTATGGAAAAAACCTGGAGGATAAACTGCAAATCAAAGCAAACACTAAAGGAACCAAAGGTTGTTATAAGTTACAGGCTCTAAAGAAGGCCACTTTTATGGGAAGGACACAGAGTTGGGAAAGGTTGACATAGATCTGAGGGATACAGGAGGAAGAGAAAAGATGCAATTAATTGAGTGAGGAAGCTTTATTAAGTGATCATTGCAATTAATTGAGAAAGGCATCAACAATGTTGTAAAAGATATTTTGTATGAGGAAAATTGGCAAAGCTAATACTTAATTGAGTACACAATGATACCTACGACGATATAGCTAAGATATGGTTGGCCATGAATATTCACTTGTTGGATATAGCATCTGAGGATTTTATAAGGACATAAATATCTAAACCTACTCACACTGGTAAAATGCAGTGAACGGGCAAGTTTTCGTCCGTCCGTTTCGGCCATATATTTGTATGTTGTGGAGTGGACTCACACCAGAACTAAAAATAAAGAAAGGCAGTGATAATGAGAGGCAGTTGGTTTGGATCAAGTAGGTTTGTGTAATACATACAGTAAAGGCCAGATGCGACTTGACCACTATTACTGGCCTCCTCTGAAGGCCTTAAGAGCACTCTATCACTTCTGGTGTCCAAAAAAAAAGAGAATGTCTCACAAGGTCAAATCCGGTGAGGCTCTTATTTTCTCTAAATAATGAGTCATGTGGCTGAACATGGGCCACAGCGAAACCTTCACTCTTCAGATGTTGTCCATCTGTTTAGACATAATATTGGCAATAGAAAGAGAGTGAGAAAAAAAACAAGTCATTCTGCAAACTCACTCCATATCCAATCCTCTAGTGTAACATATTCCAGTCACATAGACATTTAATAAATAATCTTTTCCTTTGAAAGTTGTTGAGGGAATATATTTATAGCTTTTGCTGTTGCGAACTGATAGCAACAACTTCAGTGAAATGAGTGACCTTTTGATGAAATATGCTAAATTTTCTGTAATGAGCATGTTAATGTAGCATGCTAATTTCAGCATGCTACATTAACATGCTCACATTGACACTGCTAATAAGCTGATGCTAAAGAGCCATAATGTTTACCATGTTCATCATTTTAGTTAGCATGCTAACATTTGCTAATTAAACACAAAGTACAGATGAGGCAGTAAGGGAATGTAGCTAAATAGTTTTTCATACTGCTAGCATGGCTAAAAATAAAATTTTAGACTGCATACATGTTAAAAGAGGTAGGCCAGAGAGATATTTTCCCCTTATTCTGACCTTGGCTTTTAGGTTTAAAGCTAATGTCAGCATGCTACCCTAATTTGCTCACAGTGAAATTATTAATAAGCTGATGCTAAACAACCATGTTTGCTATGTTTACCATCTCAGTTTAGCATGTTAGCATGCTAAAATTTGCAAGTTACACAAAATACAGCAGTAGTACAGCAATGTCAGTAGTTCCTCATACTGCTAGCATAGCTAAAAATAAAATTTTAGAATGCATACATGATAAAGGAGGTTGGTGAGTGAGATATTTTCACCTTATTCTGACCTTGGCTAAAATTGTATCCCAGTGTTAAGAACAACATGTCAAAGTTTTGGTGATTTATAGAACTTTCTTTCAGCCAGTTCATGAGTCAAATGGCAGCAGTGACCTCAGGTTGAGTGTGGATGTGGGCTGGTTTTTCAGCTATATTATTGTGAAATCTTTGTTTCAAAAGAGACAAAACAAGCAGTGTCCTTTGAACCGTAATCACTTCCTTTATCCTCCTTTCCTTTTCTTCTTTACTCTCTTCTCCATTCCCTCTATTGACTTCTCTCCTCTTTATTTTACCTCTTCCTCCTCTTAGTTCATACAGAGTTTAAAGCAACCCTGATGTCTCTGATCTGAATCCACAGACTGTATAAACAGTTTCTGCCTCACCACTGTGTTACTACTATCTTCTTCCATTCCTTTCCCCTGTCAACATGTTTTTGCTTTTACTCCCCCTCTCATTTTCTTTCCTTAATATACTCACCCAGAGTAAAACAATAAATATTAGACTACCTTATTTAGTTGTTCGCTTTTACCCTCCTTTCATTTGTATGAAAATAATCCCTCTCCTCTTATTTTCCATCTACTCCCTTTCATGATTGAAGCTCACTAAAATAAATAAATATTGATCATGTCCTTACTCTGGATTCACATGGTTTATATCATGAAAAAGAGCAGGTGGTTGTAATAACTTATATATTCAGTGTACATAAAACTGGTAATTTGCCCTCTTTCCTTTTAACAAAGACCATCTGTTGAAATGAGATAGTGAACAGTGCGTGCGCTGGGAATGGAACCTGTCCTTGAACCTGAAATTAAAATGTTGTTTTTGCTTCAACTTATGCTTGAATAAAAAAAAAAAGAACTTTTAACAAACTTCAGAACTTCAAATAGATTTCAACTATCGACTACTGTCTTTCCTCCCTTTTTGTCCTTTTAATCCTACTCTTATTTTTCTCTTTCCCCATATTTTATACACATTTGCAAACCAAATGCTTCAGATGTAATTTCACCAGTAAACAGATTATTTATCTTCCCCTCAAGGTGATCTTTCTTCTGCTCCCCTCAGGTCAAAACTGTAACTTCTAAACTTCTGATTTGTCCACAGTCCGAGTTGGACGCTGACTGACTAAAACAGATGACTCAGTCCAAAATAAGAATGCCAAGAATGTCAAATTATTTATCTGAAAAGATGCAGCTGTTTGCACTTCCACTGTGTGACTGTAATGTGCTATAAAGAAACAGCATACTCAGTTTTCAACCCTGTTTCCCATTATACAAAAACATGTGCAGTGGTGATTATAATTTGCAGAAAATTCCTTGTTCAGTGCATAACAGTGATTCAGCTCAATAGCACTTTCAAAAAGTCCAATATCAATGTTCTGTCTGGTCATAGACGATAACAAGATAAAGTGTTCTTCCAAATGCCCCCTTTTACAAAAACTGTAATAGATTTCTTTTTTGTAACAAAAGTATTCATGTTTTCTTGTATGTACCCTGCCTAGCACCTCGCATCATCACCTTACTGGAGACAGTGGATGTACTACTGGATCACAATGCAACCTTCATTTGTGAAGTGGAGTCACGTCCCCCTGCTGACATCACCTGGACCAAGAATAACCACCCAATTATGTAAGTTTACACCAAAAACCATTTTAACTACAGTAGTCAAACTTTGTAAGTCAACACTTGCAGGTTAATCACTGAATATACCTTTATATATTGTATGTTCTTTATTTTGGGAACACACAGTACATTCTCTTTGATGTCCACTTGGGTATGTTACATTATGAAAATACTGAAGATATTATTTAAATAAATACGTTTTTTTTAATTGAGTTTTGTGTTGGGTTTTGAGTGCCAGTAGATGGTGCTGGATGTTCCTCTCACCCATGAGGGCTATTATTGTTATTACTATAAAATGGGATAAAGTCAGCAATACCTGACTGCTTATTTAACCACAAAAATGGTAAAGCTAATAAATTAAACTATTGCAAGTCTATATTTAAGGTAAACAATAAAGAGTTAGTAACCATACCTGCTAGGTATGGCCATTACAAAGCTAACATCAAAATTATATCTATATCTATTGCTCTCTATACAACACTAGCTAATCACAATGCAAACATTAATGATATGATTAATAATATTTCTTAATGATAAAATGTTACATAACATTACGACTATTACATGGCGAACATTGGCAAAAAAAGATTAAATAACTAGCTATCACAAGGCTACGGTCAGTCAAATGATTAGATAGTCAGCGAAATTAGCTGCTTATTTTGGCCAACAAAAAGCTGATACTAAAGGAATTTTTAAATGTTAATGATGTCCACATTAGCTACTCTTGGGTAACGCTGGCAAAAACTTAAAAGATCAGTAACACTAGCAGCTAATTGCTTGGCAAAGTCCTTTGGTAAAATTTTAGTAACATTAACCTCTAATTTTGACCATCATGCTACTGCAAAAAGTATGAAATATCAATAACACCAGCTGCAAACACTGATTCACATACTGTTCATCACATACTTGAAATATGGATTGTTGCATGTAAGGTTTACAGAAGACACTTAAGAGAATGAAAAAATCAGGTATGGTAAATGCTCACAACATCACACCCATGTTTTTATCCCACCAGGTACTATGACCCCCGGTACATTACCAGGGAGCAGGGACAGATGCTAATCATCCCTCATGTAAGAGAGTCAGACAATGGAGAGTACTGCTGCCTCGCCAGTAACGGCATCGGAGAGCCGGCCAAGAGCTGTGGAGCGCTGCAGCTAAAGATGAGTAAGTCTGTTTTCTTCCAAGGTTGTAGGACTGAAGTACAGTCCAATTTTTAGTTGAGTCCATATGTTTTTTAACGTATGTAGAAGATGTAACAAATACCCAGTCTCATTAACACAAAAAGGCTAAAACCACTGTATCTTGTCTCTGGTCTGTCTCTACATCAGAACCGCAGATCAAACGCCACCCTACCAATTTAACCCTTCTGGTAGAATCCAAAGCAGTGTTACCCTGTGTGACACTCGGCAATCCCAAACCAGATGTGACCTGGCTCAAAGATGATGAGCTTATCAAGGTATGCACAACAACAGAAAAAAAATGCTGGAGGGTTTCTAGTCACATGAAGCATTTCACTGATTTAGTTTAAAAAAAAAAATAATAATAATTGGGTGACAGTAACATATGGTGTTTATACATAACTGTGACCAGGGTTGTAAATGGTTACAGACTGCAGTGATATCTAGTTTCTAGGGTGCCATAGCAGCTGATTAAAAAGTGTTTTTAATACATTTTTTTATATTTTATATTTTTTATATATTCTAACTTTTAAACAAAGAAACACAAGGACTACATCAAACAACTTGTCTCATCTTTCCCAGATCAGTGACCGTGTCACCATTCTCGACTACGGTGCATTGAAGATTCATAACATACAGAAGGAGGATGCGGGACAGTATCGCTGTGTGGCCAGGAATAGCTTTGGTTTGGCCTTTTCAAAGCCTGTCACCATAGAGGTACAGGGTATGTATTTCAGTGTAGTTTCCCCTTCTATTCTTGTATATGTACTTTAAGAAATATCTATTTAAAAAGTGGTATTGTTTGTGGTATATGTCTGTATATGTGCCTTTGTGTATGTGTCTAGCTCCAGCCCGAATCCTGCGGGTTCCAAAAGAGAAGAGAGTAGCGTATGGCAGCCAGATTACACTTGACTGTAACGCCACAGGAAATCCGATCCCCACCATCACCTGGCTGGAAAATGGGAATACTGTAAGTTCAGCTGATGTTTTTTGCTGATATTGATTATGTATAAACATGAACATTGTTTTCTAAAAGAATCAGAGAGTCCATAATATGCCCACAATAGTCTTGCAACGGCTCTAAAACTGCATTTTGGGACAATAAAGCTCTCTAAAAGCTAAATTCCGGCAGGTTCTTATTGGTCCATCCATCTATCCATCTATGTCTTCCCAGTCCACTTGGACACTCATACATGCTTGTGATCTTGTCTCCTTTACAGTGGTTGAGTTTGGCACAAATATCAGTCAACACAGCCAGCAATCAGAGAAATTTTATCACGTAGCAGACATTGTGACACATTGTCAGCTGTAGAGCCTTACATAATGGGATAGCTGTGACAATAACAGAGTAGATAAACAGGAAAGCAAGAAGAAAGCAAAGCATAATGACACACAAAGTTTTATTTATAAAATCATATCTTCAGTGTTCCAAAGAATACAATTGTACAGTCTAAAATATTTGGTAGATTAATTGCTAATAGGCAAAAGCTGAAGCAACACACTGTTGTTGAGTGGTTTTTGCTTAGACACCTGTCACTGTATGGCCTGCATTACATCAGTGGTGTGATTGATATACTGTCTATCTCCTTGTAGTCATGTGCATAATCAAGTGCAAATAGGGAAACCAGCACACTAGCAACACAAATCCACACATGAGGTACACTGTAATACACACATAAAATAAATTACACACGTCTCTGTTGATCCTTCGCTCGCTCTCTCTCTGTCACTCTCCCTCACACACATGCTTAAAGATCGGCTGTGGGATCAGTGATATAAACAGCAAAGGAATTCTCATTATGTTGACAGGGGATTGAAGAGATTGCCTTCCATTTAGCCAATAATACACAGTGTTATCAGCTTTAATTGGGCTGTGAGCGAGTGTTATGATGCTGTTGTCAAACAAAAACCATCTATCACTAAGGTAAGGTTCTTAATGTATTACAGTGTTGAGTGGTTTGTGGGAAGTGCTGACTTGTGATTTGAGGACTGACTGGCTCGATGTTCAGACAGCCCAGCCACATAAGGTGGTCCCACTGGGATATATACTGTAGCTGTTACACATTCAGAGAGAGCGGGTGTACAGTATACTGAGGACATAAACAAACAGTGTCAGCTGTTGTTAAATATGGGCTGAGCCTAATAATCTGATGATTATGTTTAACATCGGGTCACAGTGATGGTTTGGTTTTAATCACCATTGCTGTTGTAACCACATGCAATGTTTTTCTTGGGACAACAGGAGAAGACATTGTTCATGACTCATAGCAATAACATATAACCAACAATAATTTATTTATTTAATTGTTTTTTTGTGCAATTGCAAGTGCAATTGTGTAACGTACATAAAACAACAGGACCTTGTGTCCCTGGACAGCAAGTTCTCCATTTACTGTAAAATGTACTCAAGAGAAATGTTGGCATCTTAGTAAAATAAAAATTAAAAATAAGTAATTTGTGTGGTGACTTTGTTCAGTGGACATCGGGCTAAATCATGCAGGACCACCTTAAGAATGTTAAACAGGATGTTTACTCACCAAGGCAGCAGACATTTTTTATGCATGCCATTGCAACAGGCAGACATACACCAAATAATGTCTGGGTATTTAATAGTCTTGGGTGCTTACTACAGTGTGATTACAGGCCCATAATGCCTGTAAATACTATATATATATATATATATATATATATATATATATGTGTGTGTGTGTGTGCGCTGATTAAAATGACTGTGGGAGCTGCTTTTCTGGCAGCTTGTTGAGGTCATTAAATTCAGCGGGGGCTGCATAAGAGCTCATCATAAAAACAGATGGTATCTGACACAACTTCAAATATAGACACGTTGCACATCAGCACCTGGGCTCACTCCCACACACACACGTTACAGATGTCTCACATATATCATTTATAAACTGTATATATGTGTAAGTGTGAATATAGGAACTGTAAACAAACACGTGTCATCTGGCTATATCTGTGTAGTGTGAATACCAGGGAATTTTAAAATCTTTTCAATGATTACACGTGGTTATATTAATGCCAGACACAGTCCATGCACTTAATTTTATCAACTCAACACCCGTGAGACATAAATATAATCAGCGAGTGAGCAGTTTACACACAATGAGACAAAATTCTACAGTCATAATGGAATTCTGGTTAGAGAGATTTTCCTACTTTCATTTTCAGCTTGTTCAGTGTCACTGCTCTCGAAAACCCTGTTTCCAGCTGTAGCAGGGGACTATTTTCAGCAAAAAAAAAAGCTTTGATGGCAAACAGGCAAAGTCTGCAACTCGCTGGAGAACATAGTGGAGATTTTAGCAGCTAAAGAGCCAAATATTTTTTTTTCAGGACTTCATAGAGACGACAACAAAACTGGATTTATGTTGAGTGTTTCTCCATGAGTGCTGGATGTCCATAGGGCCAGTAGTTTGCTAACATGCTCCCTATATCACGTTTACAAGCCCATAACAAGCCAAACATGGGTGACTGTTTGCTGCTTGTGGTGTTCCTCCCCCAAGTGGCCAAAAAAAAAAAAAAAAAGGGAAAACTGATTAATGCACCTTTAATTGTAATATCTCCTTTCATATGACGACATACTGTACCTCTGCTGTTTTAATTTTTCCTAGATCTCAGGCGCATCGGTTGAGGAGACCTTGGTGGGAGAGGTGATCCTGTCTGTTCTTAAAGTGACAGTGAACAAGCCCGCTCTGTATACCTGTCTGGCCTCAAACAGACACAGTGCTGGAGCCAACACCGTCAAAGCAACTGCAAGAGTCACCGTCGCAGGTCTGTTACAAAATCACTTACTGAAAGCTCATTTCTCTAATGTGGCAGCTGTGTGGCTGTTGTTGTTCCTGCTTTGCCTTGTGTTATGTTAGCTGCCAGTTATATTAATGGTGTTTTGTGTGGCTTCAGCTGTTTGTTGCCCCCCCCCCCCATTTGGCTTCTCAGCCATACGCATCCACACACCCCATGACCACAGTCACCTAAAAAAAAAACCTCCCTTCCTCCCTTGGCCACACACACACTGTCCTTCCACCTGGTTGTCCCTCAGTCTCCTCAAAGCTAGCGATGAGTTGACTACAGAAGCACCATGTTTGGTTTTCTTTTCCAACTAAGACTGATTTTTATCTGTCTCTCTCCGCTCCTCTCCCCTCTCCTCCTGCTTGTGCTCCTTCAACCGACATCTTCTGGATATTGCCACTTCCCCATAGAGTGGAGGTAAGAGAAATGATCCATGCTTCACAGCTATGAAGTGTCCTTTGCTTCATTTATTTACTTTTTTGTGTGTTCTGGTGTATATATCCATGTAACATATACAATGCAATGAGTTTATAGAAAAATGTTTCAGCCCAAACTAACCAGCTTGACTCAGAAGGATTACACAGCACGTTGCGTGTCATTACATCTTATATTGGCACCACAACCTCTTGTGTTTGCACAGTTTTTGGAGACACTGAGTGCTGCTTCCTCTGGGGTCAGCTGAAGACAATATGCATTTTAGCTCTGCCAATAAACCTGCTATGCCAAGCGGGAGCCGTTCTCTCAGTCACCCATATGGTGTGAGTTGAATTTGAACTTTGCTGAACCACAGCAAAACCCCTTGTTACCACATCTGGACTATGTAACTATAGAGAGAAGGAGAGAAGGAGACGCAGATAGAAAGGGGGAGGAAAAAAAGAGAAAGGTAGGAGGAAGAAAGAATAAAGGAAACAAAAACATTGGCCTTGAGATGCCTGATGAGAATGTCTGAGGTAAAAATGAAGAAAAGGTCTCAGACAGACAAAAAGGCCAGGTTTACTTACAAGATTTGCCAACTCATGACCACATCTGGACCATATATTTAAAGGATGTTAAAAATGAGAGAGCAAAGAAGAAAGAGAGAGAGTCAAGAGAAGGAGGAGACGATGGGATGATGGGGGTGATAGATTTACCGGTTAGCTTGAGGTTTGAGGGTTTGACTTGAACTCCGCTGAAGCGCCAAACTCCCCAAGAGGCGACATCTGGAGTTTGTAACTGTTGGTGTGTACACACACAGGCAGGGAAAAAAGTGGAGTGAAGGCTGTCAGACTGACGGGCAGGCAGAAGAAAGACCTTGGATGTGAGGCAGACAGAAAGAAATGTGGCTCGTGTCCACGCTGGCAGTCTAACAGACATAAGAGCAGGCGGACAGATGGGCAGGAACACAGGGAGTCAGTATCAGAGACAGGCAGGTTTATGAAGAGCACGTATGACTGACCTGTTCTATCAAGAGGCAGCAAGGAAGTCCAACAGGCAGGCAGACAGGATGTAATTTCATATGAACCTGCTGCAACCAGTTTCATGATCAACATCTGGATGATGTTAAAGAAGATATTTCAATTGATAGACCATTTCTTAGTATTTTTTTTACGCACAAACCTCCACAAAAGTTCAGTCAGCCAAAGCAGTAAAAGACTGATTGCTCTGAATAAATATATGTATTCCCTTGTTTATTCACTCCACTTACTGAGCTAAGGAAAATGTCAAACAACATACACCAGACTTCAGAGTAAAAAAATTCAGATTCATAGGAAATGAGCCACATCTGCCCCAAATTTGAGTTCTTCTATAGTTCATGCCCCTCTCCAAATTTGGTAAAAATCGCTTCAGTACTTTTTGCATAATCTTGCTGACAAACAAACAGACACGAATGAACAAAACCTCCTTGAAGGAGGTAATAAACAGCCCTCTTTAACACCCTTTAACGAATGCTCAAGCAATTGCCTCTGACAATCCAATGTATGGATATTAGCTTGTGTGTGTGTTCCTCCTTCCAACAGACTCTACAAGGGTGTTGCAGGCTACTGCAGTGCCTACCGAGGCGATGTTTGCCGCACCGTCCTGCGAGATGATTCGCTGGTTTTCTTCAACTCCTCCCTCTCGGACCCCGAGGACATGCAGGAGTACCTGGTTCAGAGCTGGTGGTCGGAGCTGGAAGGACTCAGTATGCTGTGTAGCCCAGCAATACGCTCACTGCTCTGCCACTCCTCCTTCCCTGACTGCAACCCATCAGGGTTAGGACCTGCACCTAAACCTGTCTGCAGGTAGCACGTGTTTCTCATTGCTCTTTGTGTTACTGCTTCACTTTGTCAGTGCAGCATATGTATGAATCAAGGAATGAATGCATGGTTGAAGGACCTTCATCATCTGTTTCCCCCCTTATAAAACAGAGAACACTGCCTGGCAGTGAGGGAGCTGTACTGCCATAAAGAGTGGCTGGTACTAGAGAGCACCAGTTCAGTCCAGCCTGGGCTGTTCAGCTCTTTCACTGGGTCCCACACTTCCAGTTCACTGCTGCCCAACTGTCAGGCTTTACCAAGTCTTCGCACAGACCCTGATGCTTGTACACATGTCCCTTTTGTAGGTAAGATATCCCTTACTAAGACAGTTTGGTGTTTCAAAACAGAAACTCACTTTACAATCCTAAATGAACGTCCTGTGCTTTCTTTCTTGGTAGGAGAAATCGCTTCTTTCATTTATTCATGCACAGAATATGGGATTTTCTAAACTATTCTACATCAGACGAACTTTATGATACACCTTGCATTTTGTTTTATTTGAATTTCTTAACTGCAGTTTGATAAATCTAATTCTGTGCTGCAGAAACAGCTGGAGCACAGCAAATGTAGCACAACAGCAGTTAGGAGGAAGGAAATGGAGCACATGTAAAAGCAAGAGTTGGCTAGGCGCAATTATTCATGTGCTGAAGGCAAAATAGAGCCTGATACGCTGCTGCACTGCAAGTCGCAGATACTGATGAAGCCATTAAGATGGTCGAACTAGACTGAGCCAAAATTTACAGCTGCAGGTGTGTGTGTCTGGTGTAAAGTATCTAAGCAAAGTGGTGTGTATGTTTGCTCTGTAATATAATCTTAAACGTACTGAACTCACCTTCAGCTCTGTATTGATTTCTCAATTACATCGTTTTTATTCAGATTACTTAAAAGCCTGGCTTCCTCCTCATATTCAAGGTTTTCTAATCTGCACATTTCTACATTTCAGACATCAAGAAAGACCAAATTACAAGTAAGTATAAAAAACATTTAAGCGCAACACAAATAAATTTGCTTCCAGTCATCAGTACTAATCTCTTACAGTAATGAATGAATCGGTAATTAAACATTTGTTGTAAAAATATAACATATTAATTCTACATCCACTCTGTTTGGTATCAATAGCGACGTGTTACAATGAGAGAGGCCGTTTCTACCAAGGCAGTGTGAATGTGACGAGGTCTGGGATACCGTGTCAGCCATGGAGCCAACAGGTATTGTGTGTGTATAAGTTCCCAAAGGCACAACGTCACATCACTTCACAGGTGAAGAACATATAAACTTGAATACAACTAGAATATGCAGTAGAGATACAAGATAACCACATGTAAACAGAGCACGGGGGAGAAATTTGAAATTCCAAAAGGACAGACAATTGAACAAAATTGGTTTAACATGTAAAAACTGCAGTATCCGCTCATGGGAATTTCCTTGCCCAACAGAACAAAATTTTTCTTTATTTGCATGCTTAAAAGTACGGTTTCATCATTGGGTTGAGTCTTCAGTAGGTACTATAGCTAATAAATGACGAGTCAATTGCAATCACCACAAAATAAAGATGGAAAAAGTTAAAATAATTTGTTGTGATTGATATCAAGGCTACCATCACAATCAATTCCTGCATTTAATAAGTGTGACTGATGTGTTGTGTGTGGATGTTCAGTTTTATATCAAACACTCCTGACCTCTAACCAGAAACAGAAAAACACACAAAAGTGCTTACAAGTGCATACACAAGCACACACAAACACACACAAACACACACACTCCCTGTGGCCCAAAAGCCCCTTTATGTTTTTATGGATTTGGTCAGTGAGAGGGTCTGTGAGGGTGAACTGTTACTCCTCTCCTGTGCAGTGTGTGTGTGTGTGTGTGTGTGTATGTATGTATGTGTGTGTGTGTGTGTATGTGTGTGTGTGCCAGGTCAGCAGAGAGGGAGGGGCTCATCGTGTCACATCCTGCCTCTGGAAGCAATTAGCTTTCACACGCATATGCTCCACATACACCATCACTGACACACACTTTAACATTTTACAGTTGCTCTCTCACACACACACACACACACACACACACACAGGAATATGTCTACTGTATGTGAAATTCAGAGAACCTTTGCTCTCTTATGAAATTCTCAAATATTAGCACATTCTTTCTCTCCTTCCTCCACATGTGTCTCTCCCCATTATGTGGGCATACACTTTCCATTCACACACACCCCAATCCATGTGCAAATTAGATCACATAATGCTGAGAAATATCTACTAGCTTATGTGTAACATAGTCTATAACATACAAAAATGTACACGCATGTATACACATAAACTAACTGGTTTTTGTGTTTCCAACAGCAGGAGAATTATTATCATCTTACTGACTGTCTGTGTCTCCTTCAACAAACATCATCTTTAATCTGAAAACACTTGACATGATTAACTGTCTCCTACTGGTTGACATTGGCTGAGAAGCTTGTGTGTGTGTGTGTGTGAGTGAGTGTGTGTGTGTTGAAGTATTTTGGTGGGACCACACTACCTCTACAGCTGTATTTACATTTGCCCCAAACTGTTGACAGTACATTTGCAGCTTGAGGAACTCAGAAAATCATTCTCTAGAAGAGCGTAATAGGCAGCAATGATTTTCAGCAAATTCACCTGAATTTTCTGTTATTTCAGGCTCGGAACATCTGGCAGGCTTGTCAAGCTTTCGATTTCTCTGTTGGTTGAAGCAATGTGCATGGAGCTGTAGTTAGTGCAGTCCTACATATATACACTTTGGATGGTGGTTTCTTTTTTTAATCTCTCCTAAACCAAAAATACAGGAGCAAAAGTGTAAGGAATGGACATAACAGTGTTTGTCTGCAAACATTAGCACGTCTGACTAACTAGCCTACTACCTAGTAGTAGCCTAACCTAGCATACACTTCCAAGGCCAATGGAATTACTGCATTGTAAGTACCGGGTTACAGGTTACCTATAAAGAAATACAATTTTTTTTTTAAAAAAGCACTGTTCACATCTATCATATCCACTGTGGAGTATTTCCCCATTTTGTTGTCCCTGGTCCTTAATGCTACCAGAGTTAGGCTAATGTTAGCAGCTCTGTCCTACTCAGTTACATTTGGGGAAGTTTACACTCCAGCAAACCCTACAAAAGTGTTGTAAAGTTTATCAAAACACATTGGTTAATCCTCATTGTACAGTAAAAGCCTTTTCTACGGTGGCCCAGAAGGATAAAGCACAAACATTAGCGAAAATACAAAGATTAAGGGAAATGCACTCCAAACAAAAAAACAAAAATGAAATCGCAAGAAAGCATAAGATTATGAAGTTATTTCTAAACAGACTTTTTGGGATCCAATCTGTAATATGTATGAAAAAGTAAAGCCAAATTTAACATAGACCACTCACTTATGTTTATATTGTTTTCATTGAAATGTGGTGATCGTGGCGATCTGTACATGAACCCTTAAGTCCCCTAAATATTGTTTATCCAGCTTTACCTTCAAAATGGCATCTTTCAACTCTGAGACCAAATTTAATCATCCAAAAGGAATTGTAACAAATTACAGAACGGCTTGTACACGATAAGACAGTGCACATTGATTACATCTCCAAAAACATCAGAGAAAATTTAGCCTCAGTCTTTTAGCACAATGTCGTGCTGTATGTTGCCATCAAGTGCATATTTAAGACCCCTTTGCAAAATTCTTGTTTTAAAAATGAGTCAGCTTGAAACATTAAAAAGTCAGAGGATAGAAATGCAAAGCCTGCTTTTGTCTACCACTGTCAGACATGAAGGAGCCACAGTGTCCAAAAAATTACGAAGAATTTCAAGTGCTAAATCTGCCATCATTGTAAACTGTGCGAGAATGGAAAGCATGACAAGAACAGCAGAAGTAACTAAGGGTAGCAGGGTTTAACAAACAGTCAGTTACAGCGCTGTGGTGCAAATGCATTTTCTGTATCATAGTCAGGATTAAAATGACATCAGGAAGAGGGAATGCAGCATGTTCTGCTTCCAGGAAAAGGCTGAAATTTTGTGATATGTTGTGCTGGCCAAACATAAGTCAAAAAGTAGGCTGTTAAACATGATGGGATTATTTTGATGATGATTCTTAACTTCCTGGCCAGCACTAAAGCTTTCATTTCCTCTTGTAAGTATAGTAATAGCATGATTGGGATAATGTCCGCTGGAACAGTTCTCCCAGAGGGCAATGTGAAGTTGATTGCACCATTATGAACTCAAAAGGCCTATATGTTTTTCATTGGGTGAGGTACACTCAGAAGGTTAAAACCAACATCATTCTTTTTTGAGAATATGTGTTTGACAAATACTGATTAATAAACAATTCATTAATATTTGACTCTAATTCACAAATGTCATATTCCCTTCTTATCCAAAAATCAGCTTATTAGTCAGTAGATCAATATTCTGCTTTCAACATGCTACATCCTTTGTTTTCACTTTATGGTGTTGGAAGACTAAATCTAACTGCATACGCAACCAAGCATAACAAAGCTGCAAGAGCAGAAAGGTGTATGTGATTCAGGGACTTAGTGTATGCATTTTTCTGTTTGTCATTTTATAATTTAAAATATCTGTAATATGTGTGCTCCCTGATCTATGACACTCTGCATCACTATTATATAGATTTACTGTTTAAAGGAGACTGTAACTTTCACCTGCCTTCCTCGTCACACGAGGAGCAAATGTTCCTAATATTTTGCACAGTTAATGTTGTTTCTCTAAGAGGGATGCCTCAGTTTAAAGTTGTCGTTTACTGTCTACCCATCATGGAGCAGATCTTTTAACTCATAGCTTTTATAGTGGATATAAAACATTCTGCACATACATATGAGTCCTGCAGGAAATGAGCACAACACTGTAATGTTCCACACACTATATGTGACCCTATAGGAAAATCACATTTATGTTCAGCACATACTCAACACATATGTAGTGTATGTAGTTTCCCGTTTTGTGCTGAGTCATACAGAGGAACAGCAGCCAAACTTAGACTCAGTGATGTTGCACAGAGACCGCCAAGCACATTAATAATGAATTAAACAGACCATGTCACCGTAGCTCTGTTTTAGTGATGAAAAAGTTCAACAAGCATTTGTTGTTTTTAATGATGCTGTTCTCACCATTCAAGCATCTAGAGCAGCCTTTGTTTTTCCCTGCGAAGCGACCTCTTGTGGTCATTAGAATAATGGCCGCTCTTTGGTGGAAGCAAAGGTGGATGTACAGCAACATGACATTGTTATAGTGCTGCAAAACATCTGCAGGGAGGAGACTGATATGGATGGTTGGGTGTACAAAGTGTTGGATCTTGACAATGGAGACTTTCATTCCATCTCCTGCCAAAAGTCAATGGCTTATTTTGGAAGGCAGTGACAAACGACCTCACTTATTGTTTAGGTATGAAGAGTTGTTGTTGTTGTTGTTTTGTTTTTTATTTAAACATTCCTGGCAACCTGAGGGTTGACTTCTCATGAAATCAACCATGTGAAGAGTTTGCTCAACAGCACATGTGTTGAACGCAGCCTTTTCAGCTCATAACTTCATATCTCTTGGGATAGGTTGGATCGTTGCTCTTTTGATGACTAGAGCCCGTGACACATGAAGACACCAGATGTTCAGTATTTGAGTTGGCACTCTAGTGTGCAGAAACAACCGTGCAACCCCTAATGTCCCTCATTATACAACATTTTACAACCGATGGTTATTAAACTGTAACCTCACTACAGACCCTGAACAGGACCCTGAAATTATTTGGAAGGCCATCTTAAATTCATTTCTGATGTGAAAAGTAAAAACTCTGTCCATTAAAATTGGCTCGAAACAGCTCTTAAACATTCCAGGAAAAAATACAGGCAAGAAATTTATTGATCAGACGTAATTGATCCCTCAAGTCAAGTCTGTTTCCTCTTTACCTCCCTCCTGAGCACGGGGTCAGCAACAGAACAGAGCAAATAATGTTTTTCTCAAAAACACCTCTGGACACAGGCTGGCTCCCAGATGTCCTCACCTTACCACGATAGGAAGTAGCAAACTTTCCAAAATACAAAGATAGGTCTCCTTTTCCAAAATACAATTCTTAACAGTACTCAACCTCTTCTGTTCCCCTTTTCTATCCTGCTTATACATTTCTGATTATACTTTACAGCTCAGTTGAGAAAAGGTCAACAAAAGTTCTTCTCCTTGTTGATCCTCTTTATGTCTTTTTCTTCTGTATCATTCTGTCTTGTCATGTAGGTTCCCCACCAGCACCGCCTGTCTGTGGATGTCATTCCAGAGTTGAGGAACTCAGACAACCACTGTAGGAACCCAGGAGGAATCAGCGACAAGCCCTGGTGTTACACCTCAAATCCCAACATTCGTTGGGAGTACTGCACCGTGCTGCAATGTGGGGAGGCGAATACAGCATCAGGTACTGTCCTCTGCTGTCTTTTGTACCTCGGTCACCTGTGACCACACCTATGATAGCACACTACTGCAGTAGCTTGTAGCTAACATGTTGAGAACACACTACAGTCAAGGCATTTCAACACATTTTGACCAAGGAAATACCTCATTACCAGTGATGGAAATGACCAAAATTCACTGCGGAAACCTTTGTCTATTTTGCCACTGAATGCTTTGTTTTGGTGCTTTTAATGTCTAATTCCAGTTTGTTACAACATGCATCTTATTTTTGTAGTTCTGGCCAGTCCCATTTGGTAAAACAGACAACTCTTGTACTCAACAAGTCAAGTGCAGAGTTCGACTTGTTCAAATTCTTCCTGTGGTTGAACTAAAGTAAAAAAGGAACTCTTTATTGTGCAAATTAAACTGGAGGAGAAAACAGTATAATCTATCAGCCCTTTGACCATTTACTCTAAATGTACCCTTGTCAGGCAAAGAACACGTGTTTTTCATACGAACTTTCATCGTCAGATGTATTACAGTAATGTAAATAAAAATTAATGTTCATTGAACACTAAAATTCCCCATGGTAACCCCATAAAATACAATCAATACAATACACACTGTACCTTGTCCTTTGAAAATTGGTTTATTAACACAAAGCTTGACATTAAGACGTGTTCATGAGACAGACTACATGTCAGAGGGATACATTTGTGACAGTGTTACTGTTCACTTGAATGGGGTTGAACAAAAGAGGTAATTTACCCAGAGGGGTTGTAATTTTGCCCTGTAAAACAGCTGTAACAGTTTGCACATTTGCAGACTTTGTTAGACGTCTAGACTGATGCTGCTGCTGTAGATGAGGAGACATCTAGAGCTGATTGTCCTCGCTAGAAATAGATAAAGACAGACAAGAGGGAATTATAACCTCAACAACCTGGTGAGCATATACAGTACGTATCAGTAAATTGATAAATGTGTACCTATTCTTATAAGTAAGAATAAGAAACTCTTATCTTTGTAAATAAGAGGGCTCACAGTGCATAGTGTTTCCTCTCCTCTTGTCTCCTCTGGTCACTTTTCCTCCTTGTGTCGTTTCCTTTCTCCTGAAACAGATGAGGGCAACCAGTTAACAACTTATATTATTCATTATTGAAATATTTGTCAGAGCAGTGATTCTGATAATATCACAGAATAAATATATACTTAAATTTTGAAATGAGAAGGTTCACAGTGAATTTCGTCTCGTCTGGTTGTTTTCTTGTTTCCTCCTTGTGTCGTTTCCTGTCCTCATTCTAAAAGACAGGTGACAGATAAGAGGGAATAATAGTTAATCATTTTATCAATGATACAAACATTAGACCTATAGACAAAATAGAAACTCTGATAATAACAGAGACTGAATGTATACTTATCTTTGTTGATGAGATGGCTGTCTCATCTCCTCTTCTCGCTGTAAAAGACAAATGACAGACAAGAGGGAAACAGTTAATAATTCCAGCAGGTAGAAAAGAGAAAATGATGAATTTTCATTTAAATTTTAATAATTAAAATAGAATGAATATGTATTTATCTTTTTTAATGAGAGGGTTCACGATGCATGCTGTCTCCTTGCTGTCTTATCTTGGCCCTGACTTCTTTCTTCTTCTCTCTGAAAGACAAATGACAAACAAAGGGAGACAACAGTTACTAAACAACACCAGCAACCAGAGGAAATATTTAACCATAAAATAATTCTGGTAATAACTTAAAATGAATAAGAATAAATGTATATTTATCTTTTTGTGTAATTTCATGTCCTCTTCTCTTTCTCTAAAAGACAAATAAAAGATAAGGGAGAATATTAGTTAATAACTTCAGTAGAGTAAATGGCAAAAAATATTGATCAATATTTCTGATGGTAACAGTAAATAACTGTGTACTTATCTTTTTTCGTGAGGGTGTCCCCTCTTTTCTTCTTTTCTATTCTCATTTCGTTTCATCTGGTCTCGTCTCTTTTCTTCTCTTGAAGACAAACAGCTGATGAGAGAGGAAACAGTTAATACTTTGAGGTGTTTGTTATATTTGGGACATCATTTCAGAATCACTTGTCACTACTCTATAATTAAAACTGTACATTACAAGCCTCACTACACCATAAAGACAATATATTTAGCTGAGTATGGACATTAATAGTAATATTAACTTTAGTTTATTGCACATTTGTGTCATTACTGAGCCATAATGTAGTATTAACAATGAGCTACTACACCATTAACACAACACTGTAAAGGACTACTTACCAAGGACTCCCAGGTTTCTATTCTTCACAAACAGATCAGTGTTCCTCACTCTGTCCACTGCTGGCTGGTGGAGTTAACTGGCAGAGAAGTGCAGGTGGAGTTAACAGCATCACTTGCTTCCGTCAAGCTGTTTCTGTCTTCTCCTCCTTCTTCTGTCAGTCTGTTCTTCCAGTTTGTCCTGCCAGTCATTGGTGGATCAGTAATGTTGTAACTCTGACTCTGTCCATGAAGCTGGGATTTTCCCTGTTGATAGAGATAAAGATATTGATCAAAAACACTTATGACCTTCATTCATGTTTTCCACCATGTCAGACACACAGGCCAGCTCAAAGAAATAAAGAAAGGTGCAAGAAGCACCAGTGCAAGACGCACTGAAAACACTGACCTGTGCACCACAAGCATGATGATCTATTTACAACTATTACATATGTACAATATTTACTCCTCAGCCAGGCATATGCTTGATTTGGTGCAGGATGTCCATATGGGCCCCCGGTGCAAGACGCTACCAGGGGCCTTGCCAGCCCGGCCAGACGCTCGGGCTAGCTCTGAGGAGTAAAAATAGTCCCTTTAGTTAACCTGCCAGACGCAGGACACAAAAATTGTCAGTCACATTTCCCAGGCATCCCTTCAGGCCTGTGAGTTCTAAATTGATTATTGAGCCATGTGCATGTTGAAGGCACAGATCAAAAGCTGCAGCAGGTTAAATATCATAGAGGTCCTCCAGGAACTGCTGGATGTCCTGGTTTGTTCATGAGAACTATTGGACCATCTCATCACACTCTGAGGCGCTTTTTAGGTGGAGACAGAGTGCTGCTGCTGCTGCTCACTTCTTCAGTGTCCTTCCTCTTTTTCTTCATCTGTGTCCTGGCACACCGTGTAGACTCTTTGGCAAACTTGCAGAGCACAGACATGAGAACTTGTCCGTCTGCACTGTAGTCGCTCACCCTCCACCGGTTTGTCAGCTCGGTGCTTTCAGAGCGGTACACAGGCGAAATGACTCTGGTCACAGTCTTGTCATCAAACTCAATGCGTCGGACGCAGTTTCTGCGGTCAGCCTTCAGTCTTCCGGGATCTGTCTTCTCAGGAAGAACTGGAGTCAGTATTGGTGAAGTAACAGAGCGGGAGGCTGCAGGAGGAGCCATCAGACCTGGTGGTCCCTCCACTGGAGGAGATGGTGTTGTGTTTTCAACGCGCTCCTGCGCCACCTCATCAAAGGGCGTGGCTAATTGGCGAGAGCGGAAAGTTCCCTTAAATGGAATGACGGGGAAGTCCTTTGAGCTTGTGATGAGGTTGTGATACAGGCTAAGGATGAAGTCCCTCATGGACTCGATGTTTGTGCTGCTCAGCGGACGGTTCCTCAGGTTGGTTACAATCAGCTGGAGGATTCGTCCTGGCCGAGGCAGGTCAGCTAAATGAGAAGAACGAGAAGGAAAACATTAGTTACATTAGTCAGGATGACGAGATTGGATTAATTAAAGTTAAAATATGACTTAAAAGCACAGTCACAGCAGAATTTATGGACAGATTATTCATGTGGTTCAAGCCCAGCATGAATCATGTGGCCTCTGTATCACACTATCTAAAAATACATTACCATACATTTACGAAGCAGATAGTGTTAAGACAAAACATGACATTTAACCAACAGATTGTGGCTCTTGGTATGAGTGACATATATTTGTTTGTCATGATTTAAACATAATTTAAATGGATTGCCTGCCACTATTACAATAAAATGTAATAGATGGTGTCTGTTTCACCATGGAAATGGTGTTCTGTGCAGAGATTTGAGAATGACTAATGCCCCAAGCATTAGCAAGTCTGTTTCCCATAAGGACTTTTTGAGAAAATATAGTCAACTGGTTTCTTGACTTATCAAACTTACAAAACAAAAGTACAGTCACAATCCTGCTGGAATAATCCAGTAAAATGCATTACAAATATTTAATGTTATAAATGGTAAAGCTCTGTTGAAATTGTTGACTAACCCCTCTCCTCTTTACATCATGTTAAGAGCATTACATTCCAGGCAAAAGGTTAAAGTACATTACCGCGTAGACCGATAATTTTTTATCTTGTTGATTATACTGCTGGTGGACTCTACACTTCAGTTACGAAGGTTATTGTCTAACTGTCTGGATATTTCAGTCCAGCGTTAACAGTTAACACATGCTAACTCAGTCATCCACAGATACACAACGGGCCCAGGTTTGCCTCACTTACGTCAGACGCCTGTCTCTGGCTCGTTCCAATTCCCGACGTCGTCTCCATGGCGCGTGGAACATACACAACTTTTAGCATTTTATGAAAAATGGCCCGGTCGCCATCTTGGCCCTATACTTTCAATGTTAAATTCGACGACCCTGTCCTCTCTCAAAAAACACGTTTTTCTCACAAAAATCAACCAAACAATATAAAATAACCCACATATTGTACGCATACTAGATTTATTTATTGTTAAATGTATTAATAAATAGTTTTTATGCTCCACTTAATAATGTTATAGAGCAAAGCAGTGGTTTACTGTGTTTTACCATAGCGGTCATCCAGCAGATGGAGGATGCCGATGGTCAGCAGTTGTTTCTCACGGAGGAAACCAGAGAAGGCCATGCCGTCCTCACTACCAGAGCAGCTCTCTTACTTCCAGATATCAGAAGTTTATTAAAGATGTTTTCTTAGTTGTGGGTTTTCACTTTTTAACAAGTCAACACTTGGTCACAGTAGAAGAGTTTCACTTGGCGAGATTTCACCTCCCGTCAGTCAAGCTCAGGTGCAGAATGAAATTAAGAATTCGGGAATCTGCTTTTATAGTAAGCGGCTGGATACGTCAGTCATCACCATAACTACCACGTTACACTCGTATTAGGATTTTTTTTTTTTTTTTATTATCGTTATTATTTTTATTAAATCAATGCCTCATCATTGCTACAACTTGAAAATTAACCGCTGAAAATTTGTGATGGGCTTTTTTTCATTATTTTTGACAGAGAAATTAATTGAAAAAAAATCTGCAGATTCATTAATTTTTTTCATTTTTTGTTTTTTTGAAAATAGACATCCGTTATTTCCACTGTGTTGGAATTACTAAGGTGTCTCTTAAAGTAAATGTATTTAATTTTAATAAATAAATAAATGGCCAGTTATAATTTTTTTTTAAAGTATTATTTGATCGTATTTATAAATAAAAATTATAATTATTATTACAAGTGCAGCAGTGGGGTGGGGGGGTGCCTTGGGGTTGGGTCAATTCTAAAGGACTGTGACTGATAGGGGCCCTAAAAAAGTATTAATAAAAATTAATCTGTCATTACTAATGAAGTATACTATTTACCAAACTAATGGTTTATTTTTACTCTCTTTTTTTGTTCATCAGTGTTGCATAATATAGTGAATCCCATTGTATGCAGAAAGTTGCATGCATGTCTGCACAGTGTTGTGATGGGCCTACGGCCAATTGTTGCACATGCAGTTTTCTTGTGCATAAGTGATTATTTCCAAATTTCTGTTTATGCTCACTTTTGGATTTATATTTTATGTATGAAATAATCTGACTAAATCTTAACATTCAAAAAAAAAAAATAATGGCCATAACTACAAAAATTAAGACCATAGTTGTAATAACCCAGACTTATCCTTTAACACCAAATATAATATTATTACAAATACACAAACAAATAAGTTTAAGTCTAGTGGCTTTCCTGCATTGATAAATTAAGTGAGATTTTTTCATTTGCAATCGAGATAACCTTTCTAGACTACAGTTTATAGAAGGACAGCATAACACCTTGATATTGACTTTGTCTCTGTGATTGTCAGTGATGAAGCCAGAGTCTGCGGGCCCCCATCAGACACCCCGTCTTCCTCCCACAACCACTATATCATCACCAGCTTACTCCATGTCTGTCATTGTTATCATACTGACTGCGATTGCAGCTGCAGTCTTCCTCACCATCATCATCCTTGCCTGCTGCAGACGGAGGAAGCAGTGGAGAAACCGAAAAAGGTATATAGATTAAAAAAAAATAAGACAAGATGCACAAGGTTTTTTATCCATCTTTCTATTCCTACCTCATCCTCTTTCTCTCAACAGAGTGATGGAGACCCCGACGCTTAGTGCTCTTCCGTCAGAGCTCCTGCTGGACCGACTCCACCCCAACCCCATGTACCAGAGGGTTCCTTTGTTGCTGAACTCAAAGCTACTGGCCCTCGAGTACCCACGAAATAATATTCAATATGTTAGAGATATTGGAGAGGGAGCCTTCGGACGTGTTTTCCAAGCCAGGTGAGAGGGGGAGATGAGGCAGAGGGAATAGGGGAAGAGAGGAGAAATTGATATAGAAAGCAGGTAACTATGCAACTGGGTAGTAAAGGGAGAGAAGAAGAGATTGACCACAAATGTGAGAGAGATTTTAGAAAGAGGAACATTTGCCTGCAATATTACATTACTCAGAGTAATATTTAATACTGTAATGTCATCATCATAATCACTGCCAGGGGCTAACATGATAGAGGGGTGAGACAGGATTCAAAGAGAGGTAGGGGGATGGGGTGGGGGGGTAGAGTGGCTAAACAAGGCCACTGGTCATTCTGAGAACTGCTGCGTCATTCACAAAGTCACAAGGAGAGCTGCTACCGGTGTCACTTACACTGCACACTGACCCTGTTCACAGCAACACACACGTGTCTCAAACTAATCTCTATAATCAGATGAAATACCAGACTTTGGTCATAGAATAGTTGGATTTATAAAAAGTTATATATTTTGGACTTGAAAGGTAGCTGTAAGAAGTCTATAATAAAAGAGAGCCAAGAGATCCATGATTAATAACCACTGAAGCCAATTAAATTATATTTCTTTAAGTAGGTCATGACAGCGGAAGTGAAGTGAAGAAAAATGAAAATTTCTCTAACCTTGTGAGACTCAGCATAATCAGAATTGATCTCCTCCCACTCAAGTCTCACAACCGTCTCACCCCTGTAATGTCTCTGATCAGGGGTCTGTAACTGACACAAACAAGAAACACAGATTTTCACACAGAGGAGGGGTAAGATGCCTCAGAGAGAAGTCCCATGAAGAGCAGCCGTGTTGATTTACATAAAAATGTTTGTTTTTTTTAATATCATTTTTTATCTTTACGGTAGACAGATTATTGTGATGACTTGTTTTCACAGTAGACTAACAACTTTCAATTAGATGACTCATCCAGGGAAGTATGAGAATTTCATTATTTCCTATTGTGTTTACACTGCAATATGCACTGGGCTATAATGCAGAAGCAGACAACGAACAATCATTAATTGTCCATCATGCCATAAACTGTCTCCGCATAGAGCCAGTGCCAATAGATGGAGCACAACAGATAGAACAGGGTACAGAACATACAGCACTATATATATATATAAATATACATATATATATATATATAATAGTTCGTGGCTTTTTAACAGTAGCACCGGTAGTGTGTAGCTAACCAGGTCTGTGAGATGTCCTTCTGGCCAGCTGCTAATCCCTCAGTGAAAACTGGAATGTTGCGGTATACGGACACCCCTGGGAACATACACACACACACTCTTTCGTACATACACATATATATATGTAAAGGCATTGATGTAATATAATGTCTACTACGTGCCCGATGTAAAAACCTAATTCAAACCTTAATCCTACAACAACATCCTGGCAATTGAACTGCCCCTGTAGGAAGTGAGGACTGACCAAAATGTCTTCACTTTTCAGTTTTACATGAGAGTCTAAAACTCAAATTTGGTCTCACAAAGGTAGAAATACAGCAGCAGAAACGCACACATACACACTCATACCTGCATACATGAACAATTAAAAGACATTTATAAACAAAAGACATTTTTCTTGTATGCACAAGCACTCAAGAGGACAAATAAAGAGTCATGTACTTGCACAGGCAACACATGCGTTTGGTTGTGATGTTCACACACACACACACACACACACACACACACACACACACGCACACAACATTCACAGAGACCAAAATAGACCCAAGGAGTAAATAACTTCTTCCTTGACAGATGGGCTTCAATCTGTAGTTTCCCCAATTTGTGTGTGAATGTATGTGTGTGCCAGTGAATGATTGTTTCCATATGTGTGTGTAGTTTTGCATGTACACACTATATATAAAAATCTGCACTGAGAAACAACATGTTGACAGGGGCAAACAAACCCTGTAGGGAGCAACACAGGAAGTTGTGTAAATGTATGTATGTGTATGTGTTTCCCTTCAAGTGGCTGACTTTTATAGTACACTGCAATAATACAGTGGTGCTGTTATGCTGGGCTGCTTGTTGGGAGACACATTCAATACACATGGTCACAGAAGTCTGTCTGATGCATTACCAAAAACCCCACAATACTAGAATGCATTGTATTCTGCATTTACATATTTATAATCCTCAGTGTCTCTCTTGTTGTTGCAGAGCGCCAAGTCTGCTGCCCCTGGAGCCTTTCACGATGGTGGCTGTGAAGATGCTGAAGGAGGAGGCCTCAGCTGACATGCAGAATGACTTCCAAAGAGAGGCAGCGCTCATGGCCGAATTTGACCATCCGAACATCGTGCGACTCTTAGGTTAGTGTGTTTGTGCGTGTGAGTTTGTGAGAGAAACGGTGTTTGCAGGTCAAAACAAGATTTCCCGAAGATGCTGAACTCACATCTGGATTTTACGTTGTACAACTTCTGGATCAGTTTGTTTGCTTGATGGATAAAACAGATGTCGAAACACAGAAAGAGAGAAGAAAAGAAATGTGATAAGAGACTAAAAAACAGACAAAACAAGGCAGAAAATAAAGAGATAAAGTGCAATGGACATTATTACATCAACCTTAAACACACAGTAACAGAAGGGCTGTCTTAGCATAAACAGTCAACATGTTCAAAATGTCCCATTGGATAATTGAATCTTTAATCTGTCACATTTTACCATTTTAGCACCCTCATCACAGCAAAGGGAACAGACAATAAATCAATCCCTCGTACACTACATCAAAACAAAACGATCCATTTCACATAACACATAAAATCTAACCCTTCTTTAAGTCTGTGTAGTTTATGGTGAGTTTAATCTTCTAGTAGCACTTTGTTTTTTCAAAAATCATTTTTACTCGCACATATTAAGACTGTAAATAACCTTAAAAAGAGATAAACGTTTGACCTGAAGGAGGAGTGATTCATACAAAAGCACCCAAAATATCTTTGTGACAATTAGCAAATCGTGTGAAAATAAAGGACTTTTTTTTGTAAATTCAGGTCTCAGTTCCCAAACAGGCTGTAATGCTCCTGAATGAAGTCACTCTCCTCTGATCTTGTTCACTATAGTACTATAAAACCACTAGTCATCTTGACAGGCCTGTTTGCCAGTAAACAAATGTTGCTTGACAACTAATGTGCCTTTGTTGCCCTGAGTAAAACAAATGTCCTCTATTAAAGTTTATCTACACTAATACAGCCTTTCTAATCTAGTACAAGCAGCTCGCATGCAAATATACTTCGAGAGATGCAAACACGCGCTATTTGTCACTGTCAGTGAGTAAACAGAGCCATTGGTGATTGACTGTGCTGAAAAAAAAAAAGTTTGTTTACTTTGGTCCATTTTACAGCTCCGGTGGTTGAGAAGTATTTTTAAATCAACATTCACCACTGCAGAAGAAAAAAAAAATTCAGAGGTGTATGAAACAACTGTAAAGTTTTGAGTGACATTCATTTTGGATGACTCAACCGGAGAGTGACACACTAACACCAAAGTCTCAGGTGCCCATGAAACTGGAGTTGATTAGATTATTTAGTTAACCTCAAATTACCCTCTGGACTAATAATACACCGCAAATCATGTGTAAAAATATATGCATCATCGGTAACATGTGTGTCAAAAGTAGAGACACCATATGTCCGCATGTCATGACTTTGTTGCAGGATGGGGCCTCTGTGTTCTATATATTTAGCGATGGAGTGAAACATTATCATTATTACTGTTAAATTACAGGCCCCTAACCCAGGGAGCAGTAACCAGAGCTCGTCCTCTGTGACACACAGGACATGAACTAACTGAACATGACCTCCAAGCCTCCATGTTTGAATGTTCTTGTTACTGAATTGGACATCACAGTTAGAAGATAAACTTTCCAGTAGAAAAAAAACAGTATTAGCAAATGTGAATGTGCAGCTTCTTGCTGACTGATGCTTGTTAGAATACCACAATGAAACGTGATACATTTCATTTATTTGTTCCAGCTGTTTGTTGAAGCTTAATGATGTTTACATGGTCAAACATTTAAACCATTCACTCTGTGTTTTTAAAGGCTGCACAATTCCATTAGTTGGAAATATTCATATCGTTTTATAAACACTTCCCCAAATTCAGCCTGACATATTTGGTATTTCGGGGGAACTTGGGGATTTCCACAAGGAATTAAAACACAGTTCAGTGTGTTTGAGTTGACTTTGAGAGTTCGTTGTGACTGGGCTTCTTACCAGCGGGTCAGTGAGGTTCTGATTCATGTTTCACATAGAAACAGAAGCAATGAAATACAGTCAGTCAAAGTTATGATTGTAGCCATTATGACTCAATACATTTCATTGCGCTAACCACATAAAGTGCACTAGTCATGCACTGAATTGGAAAGAACACGGACAAGATCTGCAGTGCCTCAAACTGTTGCCTGTAGGAAAAGAAACTGAAACTACTGTCTGACTCCAGTGGGGCATTTCTGTTCTTTTTGGCAAACCTGGTCATTTGTTATAAATTTTTTCCACAGAGCTTTAAAGAACTGAAGTCTTGTGTTATGCTTGCGAATGCCAGGTTACACGTATGGCACATCTACAACTTCTGTGGGGCTGTTGGGGCTCTGCACAGTCTTAACAGTGTGTGCTCTAATTCCTCTAAGCGGTGCACATTGCAAAGAAACATTTACAGGAATGCATAAATAAACAAGCAGACAGACACTCTTTTATAGAGGTAAAGTAAATAAGTAATAAATAAAGTAAAATGAATTTAGTCAGTGTAAACATTTGCAGCGGTAAGAAAGATTAATAAATTAATTTTTTTTTTTAAATAATATATCAAAACACTTTCTTTCCACATCAAGAATGCAAACAAGTTCAGTTGTGGAAGCTTCCAAATACACCCAGAATTTCAGGTTTTGGTAAACCTAAAGAATGTTATTTGTAAGTTCCCTTAATCACAACTTAGATTCATAAGAAGTGCAGCGGCATAACATTCCCAATTTTAGAAATTCTCTTCAATTGCTCCACAGGCTCAGAAGAACACAAGATGAATTTAGAAAAACACTTTCTACATCACAGGCCTACTAATGTCAGACTGTACATCCTCTATGCCTGAAAGTTTATATGTGAGCATGTACACATCATGATGGTTTCGTCTGTGTTTATGTCTAGGCTGGATATATATTTACCTTTTATCGTGAATGAACTCATTGTCTATGTGTGATTTAATGATGTCACTGATGTGTTTATGTGGCTAACTATTTGTGCTTGTTCTCGCTGTGGTGGGAAAATGCACAGCACACACGCTTACCTATACATTCTGTATGTCATAGATCATAAAATAAAACCACCTGTATCTCCTCTTCACCAGGTGTGTGTGCGGTGGGTAAACCCATGTGTCTGATGTTCGAGTACATGGCCAACGGTGATCTCAATGAGTTCCTGCGTCGTCGATCTCCAACCCAGTCAGTGCACACCCTGAGCCGCGCCAGCCTATCAGGTCGCAGCTTCTCCTCTGAGGTGGAGGCAGGACTTCTCTCCTGTACTGAGCAGTTGTCAATTTCCAAGCAAATTGCCGGAGGAATGGCCTACCTATCAGAGCGCAAGTTCGTCCATCGTGACCTCGCGACCCGGAACTGTTTGGTAGGGGAGGAGATGGTGGTGAAGATCGCGGACTTCGGCCTCTCCAGAAACATCTACTCGGCTGACTACTACAAAGCCAATGAGAATGATGCCATCCCCATTCGCTGGATGCCCCCAGAGTCTATTTTCTACAACCGCTACACTACTGAATCGGACGTGTGGGCTTATGGTGTGGTGTTATGGGAGATTTTCTCCCATGGGATGCAACCGTACTACGGTATGGGTCATGAAGAGGTTATTTACTATGTGAGGGATGGTCACATCCTCTCCTGCCCTGAGAACTGTCCCCTGGAGCTGTACAATCTGATGAGGCTTTGTTGGAGCACACACCCATCAGATAGGCCCAGCTTCAGTAGTATACATCGGATACTGGAGCGTATGCATCTGAACACACTAAGCATTAATGAAGCTGACCCTGAGCCTGACTGCTAACCTGGGACATTTTCACAAAAATACATCTGTCTCTGTGCAAGAAAACAATGAGCTATATAGTGATTTAGTGCCTTTAAATGAACTCTGACACTGAGACTGAGCACATACTGAATACTTCGTAAAGTAACTTCAGCCTTTTCCTTGCCCAATTTCCTGAGTGAGTGAGTGAGTGAGTAAGTGCGAGATAGAGTGAGTGAGTGAGTGAATGAATGAATGAATGAATGAGTGAGTGAGTGAATGAGTGAGTTACACTATTGGCTGGCCGAGTGTTTCCCATTGGCTGTTGCTCTGAGGTTTGACAACAGTTTTAATTTTCATGCACCTATAAGCATCAGGCAACAAATCTAGCAACTTTTTAGACAAACCGTGACTATTTTCTATAGAAGACACTTGCCAGGATTGCCCTGTAAGCAAGAGGCCAGCTCTGTCTACTCTATTCAGTGAGTGACAGAGAGACAGAGCAGCAGTTTGTTACCCGGATTAAGGCTGTATGCTGTGTGAGACTATATAAGGAAGATATTATGTCACTTCTAACTTTCTCTCTGAGTGATCATTTTACAAGTAAATATGGCTGAAATCACAGCACAGTCTTTGCTGTTAACTTATGTGTTTGGTGTCCTTTTATAAACATAAAATCAGGATTTTAGCAGCAGCAGAGCAGCAGCTTGGAGTTGACTGCTGGTAAACGTGGTTTTGATGGGTTGCATTTCAGTCACTATTTCATACTTTTTCCATTGTCTGACAACAGAAACAGAAAAACATGTAAATGAGAACAGTTTTATTGGAAATCTGAATGTATTAAATTACTGTATATGTGAGCACAGAGAGTAAGAGAGAAACAAACAGATAAAGGGCTTAAACTGGCTGACACTAAGCTGAATGCAAATATGACATGATGACGTCAGGAATATGCTACTTAGTGTATTACTAACACCTGTTATAGTTTATTACATTTGTGTATTACTTACGTCTTTAATTCAGGACCCTTTGCCAGCACATGAACATGACTCTAACCCCAACCCCAGAGCCTTAACCTTTGAAGACTTGAAGCCACTAACCATGCAGCTATACCCCAAACCATTTCAAAAATGTTGTGCTTCATCCATTGCATGTAGAATTATTTGGGATTTTTTTCTCTTTTTCATTTTGAGCTGTCAAGGTGTTATTAAATCTGACAACTGAACATTAAGGTTAGAAAATGAATGGAACACGACAGTTAACGCTTCATAGTAACTAAACATTTTTTTCTTCTTATAGTCGCCTCTAGCAAATTCCACAGTGGCACACAATCACTTTAATCCAGTGCTGTTGATTGTTTTTATAGAAACGTTGCTATTCCATTTATGGGCATTCTTCATATGTATATTCCAGAGGCAGCTGGTGACTCAAAAAAATTGGGAGGACAAGAGGGAAGCAAACCCACGGTGTCATGTTATTTTACAGTGGCTGGCTACTAATCTCTACTTATTTTTGTTCAATGAAAAATTAAGCAGTAAAACAATGGCATCATTGCAATGATGAAAAAATCGTTAAAAAAAATTAAGGACATTAAATGGCAAAAAAAGCATGATGGTTGTGCCTGAAGGAGAAAGAAGAGGAAGATGAAATTCAACACGGTTGACAAGAAGAGTCTTAGCAACGAAATTAATATACTTCTATAGCAAATATATTAAGATGTTGCCACCACACGCCTGCCGTGGGTCCAGCCTGGATAGCTGAGGCAGTGAGGAGTAAAGCTCTCCATCCGCTCCCCGGCAGCATTCAAGTCCAAATCGATTCTTGCCATTAGCTTAACATTCCTGCAGAGCTGCTACAACAAGCTAACTGTTGCGTTGGCTAACGCAAGTAGCTAGCTACTGCTTAATGAACAAAAGGAAAATGTAAATCTGAAAAAAGGAATTTCGGACTGTGTGGAAAGGGCCTGAATAAAATGTAATGTTTTAGTGGTGTTTAAAAGTAGTTTGCAATTTGCACATCATGATTTCTTTTCTAATATGCTACTCTTCTATGAATATATCTATTGCTTAACCGCCAATTCGTCACACTCACATACAATACAGTGGTAGAGAGCTGAAAAATGAAATTGGAAATTATCATTGGACCAATGCGATGTCACAATGATTGTTGATTGGTTAGGGAGGACGTCCTCTGTTGAAGCATCATGTTGCGTCTCTTGGTCAATAACAGATTAGCATGAAATAAAATGACATACATTAAATTGATTTAAGACATCCCGCCCTCCTCTGCCCCCATGGACCAGCCTCCTCTGATATACAAATTTTTTTTCTTTCTTCTTCATCATGTTGTTGTTGATCTTTGTCTTTTTTGTTGTTAACCACACTTTTTTGAGTCTTTGACACACAGAGTTTGATATAAGAAAATTACAGCAGGCATAGGTAAAATTTGTTTCAAGTTTTATTAATGAATTCTTCCGACTTGCGTCATCATTGCCCGTAAGTCTCTCACTGAAACACAGACACACACATTTGTTTAATTATAATTTTACAGAACTTCATTAGCCGGATTCATTTCCGTTTCTTAAGATAGAATCTTTAGTGAGTGAAAAATGGCCAAACTGTCCTTTTATGTGAAAAAATATCCTCATTCAGAATGACTAAATATATCCCTCTGAATGATTACATTTTTAATTGGCTCTCACAAAGACAGAACTTCTCTCTTACACATCAAACTTTCTTCTGGTTCAACTGTGTAAAATTTGATTAATGTGTTATGACACAGTATGAGCACATGCAGCATCAACATCTCTTGTATCATCAGTCATTTTTGTCATGTGGATTACACAAAGCAGTTTTTGTTTCCTTTTAATTTGTCTTGTGAATGTATTTAATTAAGAGATTAATATGAAATGAGAGAACATAATGATGTTGTCATATTGATGAAATGCCTTTCAGATGAAAGAAATGTTTTATTTCTTTTTAAATATGGTGTGATGTTTGTTATTTGTTACATAAATGATACAATTTTCACCACACATACAAGTATGATACTGTATTTCTTTGTATTGCTTGCAAATAAACAGAATTATTAAACATGTTTGTGTTTCAGATCTGGTAAAAAATTGCAGTAGTTTGTGGAGTGGATGAGTACAAGATGTCCATGCATCCCCTGCTGACAATATATGTTTTAAATTTAGGAAATCTATGTGAAAAATGTGAAAACCCACAGCTGAATATGCTGTATGTGTTGTGATTTAACTTAAGGCGACTTCAGATAGGCTAACCAGTCACAACAGGTTAGCAGTCTTTCACTAAATGATCAATGGGAACCAAGTAATGTTCCTCATATGCATAGGTCAGAAAAAATATCTTTAACAGTAGTAGTAGGGTAAGGAATGAAACAACATAGTATAGTAAGGCATAAAAATGCCAAAAAAGTCATAGTATAGTATGAGATGAAAATATCAAAAAATGTCATAGCATATTAAGGCATAAAAGGTCATAATAGGGTCTTAGTAGGGTAAGGAATAAAACAACATGGTATAGTAAGGCATAAAAATGCCAAAAAAGTCATAGTATAGTATGACATGAAAATATCAAAAAACATCATGGCATATTAAGGCATAAAAGGTCATAACAGAGTCTTAGTAGGGTAAGGAATAAAACAACATAGTATAGGTAGGCATAAAAATGCCCAAAAAGTCATAGTATAGTAAGGCCTAAAAATGCAAAAAAACGTCATATTATAACATGGCATAAAATGTCAAAAAAACATCAAAGCATATTAAGACATAAAAGGTCATAACAGCATCACAGTAAGGTAAGGAATGAAACAACATAGTATAGTGAGGCATAAAAATGCCAAAAAAAGTCATAGTATAGTATGACATGAAAATATCAAAAAACGACATAGTATAGTATGGCATAAAATGTCAAAAAAACATCATAGCATATTAAGGCATAAAAGGTCATAACAGAGTCATAGCATCGTAAGGAATAAAACAACATAGTATAGGAAGGCATAAAAATGCCAAAAAAGTCATAGCATAGTAAGGCCTAAAAATGCAAAAAAACATCATAGTATAGTATGGCATGAAAGGTCATAACAGAGTCATAGTATGATAAGAAATAAAACGAAATAGTATAGTATGACATGAAAATATCAAAAAACGTCATAGTATAGTATGGCATAAAAGGTCAAAAAAACATCTTAGCATATTAAGGCATAAAAGGTCATAACAGAGTCATAGTATGGTAAAGAATGAAACGACATAGTCTTGTAAGGCATAAAAGTGCTAAAAAACATCATAGTATAGTATGGCAAAAAATGTCAAAAAAAAATCATAGCATATTAAGGTATAAAAGGTCGTGACAGAGTCATAGTAGAAAGTGCAAAAAAACATCATAGTATAGTATGGCAAAAAATGTCAAAAAAAAATCATAGCATATTAAGAAATAAAAGGTCATAACAGAGTCATAGTAGGGTAAGGAATGAAACGACATAGTATAGTAAGGCATAAAAATGCCAAAAAAGTCATAGTATAGTATGGCAAAAAATGTCAAAAAAAAATCATAGCATATTAAGGCATAAAAGGTCATAACAGAGTCATAGTAGGGTAAGGAATGAAACGACATAGTATAGTAAGGCATAAAAATGCCAAAAAAGTCATAGTATAGTATGACATGAAAACATCAAAAAACGTCATAGTATAGTATGGCAAAAAATGTCGAAAAAAAATCATACCATATTAAGGCATAAAAGGTCATAACAGAGTAATAGTATGGTAAAGAATGAAACGACATAGTCTTGTAAGGCATAAAAGTGCTAAAAAACATCATAGTATAGTATGGCAAAAAATGTCAAAAAAAAATCATAGCATATTAAGGCAAAAAAGGTCATAACAGAGTCATAGTAGGGTAAGGAATGAAACGACATGGTATAGTTAGGCATAAAAATGCCAAAAAAGTCATAGTATGACATGAAAACATCAAAAAACATCATAGTATAGTATGGCAAAAAATGTCAAAAAAAAATCATAGCATATTAAGGCATAAAAGGTCATAACAGAGTCATAGTAGGGTAAGGA